AATGCCCTCTGCCACGCTGATATTTTAGTGTAGTAAACTAAGAACATTGACCCAGCTATAGGGCCCCGTAACAGGTTATAGACATGGCAGCAGCTCTGGTTTGATTAAAGTTGCTACTGTGTGCATTGACACCACATAATGTGTGCTGGTTTGGGTGTGTGCATACTTTCTACCCTGGAATAAGGTTTATAAACCTTTCTCTGGGCTTTGCATCATGTCCCAAGGGCTCCTGTTGGGTTGGCTTTGCCTAAGATACAGAGGGAAACGCCATTTGGTTAAGCAGATGCTTCAAAAGGAATGGGAAAAATATGGCATATACCTGCTGGAGAGGGTTCAGAAGATATCCATTCTGAGTGTAATTCTTACGTTTATCCCAAAACCAATCTTGGGCTTTTCTGTATATTGGCTTTGTTTGACCATCTTATTTTCCTTGAAGTTTTGTAAGCTCAACCATATTCTGTCAACGGCCTCAGTTTTGGTGGAATCTTGTATTTCTGGTTCCTTATAACAGGACATTGTTCTCTCAGATCAAAAAACAAGCAAACAAAAAATCAAGCACATCTAACCCAGAGATAAAGGACTCTATATGTAATTTTTTTTTAAAGATTTTATTCAGTTTTAGAGAGAAAAGGGAGGGAGAGAGGGAAACATCGATGTGTGAGAGATACATCAGTCTGTTGCCTCTCATAGACCCCCAACTGGGGACCTGGCGGCAACCCAGGCATGTGCTCTGACTGGGAACCGAACCAGTGATCCTTTGGTTCACAGGCCAGCACTCAATCCACTGAGCCATACCAGCCATGGCTCTATGTGTACTCTTTAACATTTGAGGTTATTCATTCACAAGTGTACAGAAGCCATTAGCAAGTGTGGACGTCCAGACCATTCATTCCCCCCACTTATGATTGGCAGCTCCTGGAATTCTACTGTAAGAAGCTCTCTTCCCTTATGTAGTCATATTCTGTAGTTTGTCAGTTAAAGCAGGGAATGTAAAAAATCATAATAAACGTCCTTAAAACTATATTTTTAAAACATGCACAAGTCAATTCACCCATCATTCCTTTGATATCAGACTAAAGCCTTTTCTTTGTATGGGGTCTACTGGTGGGGACTGCACATACGACATCCATTGACACAGCAAATAGCATTGTTAATTTTAGATTCAGTGGGGTGGGGACTCAGGGTACTCGTGGAACAAACTATGGGCAGAATTTTAGATTTAACGACCCTTTCCTCTGCCCACACTTTCACATTTGTTTTACTCACACCTAATTCCACAGCTATTTTTTTTCCTTGAGAAAGACCTGATAAAGACTTGTCTTTATCACATTTTCCCCACCCATTCAATTTATTTTCATAGAGATTACCATTCTCTTTACACTCATATTTGTATGGTTTTAGTAATATTGAATTAAATTAGATAATTACTAAATACAACTTGCATAAACAAGTTTGGGAACAAACGACTGACTTTTGGAAAGCACACAATTAGGGAGAGCAGTGATTACTCCATTAGGGACTAGACTACTTCCTAGTTGTAAGAACTGGGTGGGCCTTGAGCTACAGGCAGATTATTCACACAGAACAGAGACTGGTTCAAAGGTCTGGGCCATAGGAAAGTTGAGTTCAGTTAAGAAAAAAGAGGTCTAAATTCAGAAACTTAGCACTCAGATTCCCATGAAGCTATGTAATACTAAAATTCTTTTGAGAAAAATGCTAACAAAAAAGACTTAAACAAACCTTTCTCTGCTAGGACCAGCCATGCTTCTCTGTGGGCGGGTGTAATGCCTGAGCCTCCATGTGGATTTGATTAGTATCAGTGGGTGTACTCCTGGTAAATGCTCTAAAATATTAAAATATATATCCCTTTGAAGGAGTCAGGAAAGGAACTGTTCCTAGTTTGTGTTTAATAAAATATTTAAGCCTAAAGTAGCCTTAATATGAGTCAGATTACTAAGGATAATAAAATCTCTGAAAGAACCTATTTGTTAACCAATAGGGGAAAAACTATCCTGTGTCCTGGTGCTCTCCTGTGATAAAACAGCAGGTCTACACTGGGGATTGTAAAGCTGTAAGATTAAAGTATCTGAAAGAGACCTTCACTTACTTTCATTAATGGTTGGATTGCACACAGAGAGTTAGCCCCCCAAATGATAAACGTGCTGGTGCTTGAGGGTGGGCCATGGAATCAGAAGTACTTTCTTTCCACCCCCTAAATTGTCTAACGTGAAATTATATTTCTTTTATAAGTAAAAGAAGCAAAAACCCAGCATAATTTACCACCACAGTTCATTAGTAATAATACATAGAACCAGTTTGAAGTTTTAGGCAGAATGGCACATAGCCTCAACAGTGGACCCTCGTGGGTAATTCTTATTGAGTTCAGCGGGAACACAAAACAATTCTTTTATAAGTTTCCTATTGTTTTGTCTCATGCAGTTTAAGACCTTTAAGAGAAGCAAAGACTAAGCAATATAAATCCACATCTGTTTTCCTAAATAGCATTTGGGAAGCCCGCTGAATTATGGAGTCTCTATCTTTTTAACAAGTCTTCCAAAAGGCAGCATTCAATGGGGTTAAGATTATCAACATTGGAGCCAAAATGCTGAGTGACCTTGGACAGTTACTTAACCTCTCTGTGTTTCAGTTGCCACATCTGTAAATTAACGATACCTGATTGTTAAGAGAACGAAATCAGTTAATGTGTTATGTATACACATTATGTATAAACTGCTTTTAACAGTGCCTGGCATGTATTAAGGTTCTATGCAAGTTTAGTAAAGGAATGCAAATTTTAAAACTATGAGAGTTTACTAGGTATACATTTTAGTGTTAAGAATAGTTTTTGTATTATTTTTAGCATTCATTCAAAATTCTTATCCCTCAAGATTTTTGTTTACAATAATTGCTACTAAGCCTAGATATGTTAAACTGATGCCTAATGAAAAAAACATTTAGGGACAAGAAATAAAAATTTTAAGAAGATAGGGTTTACAGGTTGTAAGATGAAATAGTAGTCCTTCCTGAAGCCCTCTTCCCCAGTGTGGAGACCCCAAAGAGATGCCAACAGTGCATCTGGAGGACCCCAGTTTAAATGGATGCACGTGTAAATACCAATGGTTTTAGAATACAAAATCTTAGTTTCTTCTCCTTTCAAAAGGTGGAGCCTAATCCCCTCCCCTTGAGTATGAGATGGACTTAGTGACAGGCTCCTAAAAATAAAATGAAGTGGAAGCGATGGCGCGCAACTTGAGAGAGGAGGTCTTTCCTCACTCGGATCTGAAGGGAGTCAGCTGCCATGTAATGCGGATGCTCAACAGCCCTGCGGAGAGGCTTACGCGGTGTAGAACTGAGGCCTCCTGCCACCAGCCAGGGGAGGAAGTCATCTTGGAAGCAGATGTCCAGCCCTCGTCGTGTTCCAGTGGCTGCAGGTCTGGCTGATTGCTTGAGTGAAACCTCACGAAGGACCCTGAGCCAGAACCACCAGCTGAGCCACTCCTACTGAATTTTTGACCTGCAGAAACCATGTAAGATGATACGTGTTCATTGTCTCAAGCTGCTATGTATTTGGGGTAACTTTCTGCACACACAGATGACTATACTAGTGTATGTTTATGACAGGAAGAAGGGAATGGTGTCAAATACCCTTCCTAGACCTAACACTGTTCACCCAGTGAAATCCATCATCTTGACCCTAGATCTACCTCCAAATTGCAGTAAGAAGCTGTGATGAATTGGTTTCTTTCTTCTCCCTGCCCAGTTGCTACTTTTTCTGTCACAAGCTGTCAGGGTTTGTCCCATCATGTAGCATGGCTGTGATGAAGTTGAAGTGTAGTCTCAGTGATAAAGGCTGTTTCTGGAAGGCTGGTTGTGGAGAAGCCCCAAGAGGTGAAGTTTACAATAAACTGGGGTTTGGTTCTTTGTCCTTTAGTGTTAGAAACTGTATTTTATAAGAATATTCAAACTCAGAGACTAAATAGACAGGCTTGGTGGCAGAAGGCACAAACTAATTTCACATGAGACTGATGTGGAAGTTGGAAAGTTTCTCCAATTATGTCAAGTGCAGAAGGGGATTCCTGTGCCTTCATCCTGACTTCTCCTTTTCCTGAATGGCAGATTGAAGGCTGTATTAGCTATCTAAAGATGGTGCAGTTGAGCTTGCACCCTAAGAAGCAAAAAGTCTCAAGCTACGTTCTTCCCAAACCACAGCCAAGTCTTGGTAAACTGATCCTCCCTGAAGTAGAGAACACGTCTTTCTGGTCACTGAATTGTGCAGATCTCTTGGATTCAGTACCTCCCGTTCTGTGGATAACACTGTATGGACGCTGTCATACTTTGTTTCCTCCAAACTTTGCTTGGTAAATTGATTAATTCTGTTCACATTATTTTTCCTTAAGTGAATTATTGATAGTATTATTTGAAAACCATAGTGTACTTGGAAAACAAGGAGGCTCTTCTCACTACATGTTGATTCAATTAGTCTAATTCTCTGGGAGTATCTTATTACCAAGTCCTTGGGAGGAATCTCACAGGTGCCCTCGGCACACTCCCTGGACAGTCTGGATCAGAAGTGTTCATTAGCTAATCAGAGCTTGTACAGAGGTAGTATTTTGGAACTGGCATAGCATTTCAAAGGCAGTTGTGTAATTTCTGATCTTTTATCTAAGATAATTTTCATGATCAACCAAACCCTGAGTTGATCACTAGGAGCTGAAAATGAATAAATACCAGTTATCAAAAATAGAGTACTTATATGATGTTCTCCTTTTTCAGACACTGTGAATAGTAGTACAGTTTTCCAACTTCAGTCACAAGTATTCTTACCAAAACCAATTCATTCAAATTTGGAAGAATTAGGTTAATCAGTACCTGTCAGTTTCAGAAATTCAAAAATAGTTTTTACTATCCATAATTAAAAATTACATTTCAAGAGAAAATATTTTAGTGTTTAATAGCATTAGTCAATAGCTACTGATTCAAAAGTTGAAAAGTATGTTCTGTTAAATGCATGCATTCAAAGTATTAAAAATACTTGGAATTACAACAAAATTCTATTTTGCCCATTTTGTAATTAGATAAACAGAATTATAATGAGTTCAATAATTAGAAATATGCCAAAATAATGTCATAACTGCATAAATACATCAAAATCTCTTGGTTTCATTGTCCTCAGAAACCCAGGAAAACCACTCAATTAATGGCCACTTGCCTTTTTCATCAGACACCATTCTTTTTGATTTTGTCATCTACTGAACATACAGTATCTTTCCCTGACCATTTTTGTTTTACTGAAAAGAAAAAAAATATTTTTCTTGGAAACAAAATGAATTAATGTAATAGCTGCTAAAATTTCACTTGAAATTCTAGGAAGCTACAAATCTGCGCAAATACATTACCTTTAATATAGCTAGTGCATAATAGAAGTTTTAAGAGTAATTGTTGGGAAAGCTAATGTAAGTAGAAACATTGATTAAAGTATGCTCACTAAAAAAGTCCTGTCATCAACATTTTTATTTAGTTCAGTATATGGCAGAATATAATACATAACAATATGCCCTTTCTTATCACAGGTAGTCTTTTGTGTAACTAAAATTTGTAGCCAATATTTTACGTAACAAAAGAAAACTAAATCTGTAAATTATCAGAAAAGAAACAAGGATATGGGAAAATAATACATTTTATATAAATTATAGAGGACAGTTAACGATGAAAATCCATCACTTCCCTTTCTATTTCAGTTTTACAAAATAAAGTCAACTTGTATTATGCTATGACCTGCTAAGAGGGCATAAACTTGGTGGTCCTTTCAAAAGACAGTGGTCATGGGCAACATGTTATCTTGATGTCATAGCTTGTTCTTAGTTCTTAACTGGAGTTGAGCTTCCTTTCATAGTCTTTTTTAAATGGTGGTAGTTTGGCAAGATTTTCATCAGGAAATCCAGCTGCAGTGTCTGGGGCTGAAATGAAAATATTCTTAAGAACGGATGAAAAGAAAGCAAAGTTAAGAGTACAGGTAGAAATGACTATCATTAGGTCATGGAATTACAGGTGATTAGCAGTGACTTATTACTGGTTACCCATTTTTAAAAAATTTACAGTGAACATATATTAGGTTTGGTCATGAGAAAAGCTGTAAGATTTTATATATAAAAATATATATACAAATCAGTTTTCAACATTGCTTTTATAGATTTCACCCGGACTTCTAAAATGTTAAAATGTTCCAATTATAGGGTGCTGGGTGGAGGGGGACAAAAGAGGAAAACCAGGACAACCGTAATAGCAGAAAAAATAAACGTAATTTAGACTTTTTTAAAAAGTTCCAATTACATGAGACAACATAAGTAAAACACCCAGAATACATCGCTTTCCACAAGACCTACAAAGCACACATCTGCATACTCATCTGATCTTCACTCTTCATTTATCTTTGCCCAAACTCTCCTCACTGTACAACTCCCTAGGGGTACTTGTGAAAGATAGTTTTTTTGGCTCTTGCTTCTAGACACTCTGATTCATTAAGTGTGGGGAATCCTTTTGTTAATGAGGACTTGTACATGATCTTTATGATCACTGAAATTTGGAAAGCAGCAATGCATACCATTGTGTATTAAATTTCAGATATTCTTACTCAATTCTAATCTCCTTTCCCTGGCTCTAGCTTCATTTCTCCTCTTTAATCATTTTTGCTATTCTGTAGAAAGATAGTGAAAAAATACTGGATTGGTTCTTATTTCCTTTTTAGTCTACAGAAGTAACACTTGCTTACGATAACAACAGTAATAATAAAAGCCAAACATTACAGAAATAGAATAGCCCGAAAGAACTGGAGTTTAAATTTCTGATAAAATATGGCTAAGAATCAGAGGCAAAGTGATAAATGTCTTGAAAAATATTTTCTTTTGGAGGAGCGGACCTAAAGAAGTACATTGTGTATGCCAACCATGAGACTCCAGGTTTCAATCAGAATGTCTCTGTCCAAAGTCCCAAATGCTCTTTCTTATTCATCTACTACTCTAACCAGAAACTCTAAGTACGTACTCTTCATTACCCTTGGTTATTAGGAGGGGATAATTTCTCATCAGCCAGGAAACTATCCAAGCACACTTGCATATTTACAACATGTATTTATTTTCAACCTAATTATGTTAGTAAACTAATTAATGGATCCCAGCTGGCTGTCCACTACAAATTTGGTACTCCTAAACCTTGAAGATTGATCTTTTAGGAGGAATCAATATATTTTAAGATTCTGTGATAAATGTTCAGTAAAAACCCGTAAGACCAGGATAGCACCTCTGAATTTTGTTTTCCCATAATCAACTTGTCCTTGTCAAATTTTACATATTTTTGATATTAACTTAAAGACTAAATAATGCCACTGGAAGTAAATTCTAGTTTTAGGGATGTTTCTATGATGTTTTATTTTATTTGCTTTTTTAAATAGTGGACTGCTGCTCCATTAAAACAAATAGGTGGTATTTTGGGGAAATTAGCAGCCATAGAAAGAACCTTTTAAAGAGAGGTCCTAGTACCTGTGGTCGCTCAGTCTGCACCCGACGAAGACAGTCCACACCATAGATCACTGTATTCTCAGGGATGACTTCAAATGTGTTTAGGTTGCAACATGCCCCAATGATGCAACCGCTTGTGAGTATTACGTTTCTGCCTACATACGCTGCAGTAAAAACACAGGAAGAATTACAGTTTAAGATATCAAATGATTAGAACACTTTTTTTTTTCTAAGATGATTTAGGTATAAAAATGAAAACTGGCTTAAGAAAATACTTCATTTCAGAGTTTGTATAGTACAGAGGCAGTACCAGACTAGTATTCAAAACAGAACTTTCCTACTATTTAGTTGTGTGACCTTGGTCAAGTCACTGAAAATTCTCTGAGCAAGTTAATCAATAAATGAAAAAACTGCCTTACGTCAGTTTGCTTTAAGAAATAAATGGGATAGTGTTGTGTAGTGCTGAGTGAAGGTTTGACACCTAGTAAGGATATAATAAACAGAAAAATGACAATGCGGATGGTAATAATACTAGGTAATCCAAATTAAAATAAAACCATTAAGAGGATTCACAAAAAGTCTAATTTTATTATTTAAAAGAGAAGCATTGTCTTTCATGCCAATCAAAACCAAGAAAAATAAAGCATTATTCTATGGAAGGCTTGTTGTTCAGGTTCTTTCTGGAGCTTAGTGGGACAAGCTCTTGGAGCTGCTTCCTAGCAGGGGTGGTGACTTCATACGACCCCCTGCCTGGCCCCCTTTGTGATAAGCAGCTTAGATTTGTGTCTAATTGGCTAGGGTAGTAGACCTGAAATTAAAGAAAGCAAACGGCTAGAGAAACTGATTTTTTCCTTGGATTCTACAATAACATTAACCAACTAAATTTCATTGACGTTAGTATTTATTTAGTAGAAATCTTTTTTCAAACTTTCATTTGAAATTTCTATAAACTTCAGTTCTGATTTAAATATACACAGCTAAATTTTAAATGTAATGCATTAAACACATTACTGGATTGGGTTCCTTAAGGGCAGAGAATTGGCCCCACAGCTATGTTAGTCCACTTCCAGCCACACCTTCCTTCCACGCACACCGCTTTGCCATGGTTTGCACAGGCGTACCTCAACAATATTGCAGGGTCGGTTCCAGGCTACCGCAATAAAGCCAATATTGCAATAAAATGAGTCACACACAATGTTTGGTTTTCTAGTGCATATAAAAGTTATGTTTACACTATACTATAGTCTATTAAGTTTGTACTAGCATTATGTCTAAGAAAATGATGTACACACCTTAATTAAAAAATACTTTATTGCGCCCTGGCAGGGTGGCTCAGTTGGTTGGAGCGCCATCGGTACACCAAAAGGTTGCAGGTTCGATTTCTGGTCAGGGCACACACCTAGGCTGTTGGTTCATCCCTGCTTGGGGCGCGTGCAGAAGGCTACTGATTGGTGTTTCTCTCTCTCTCTTTGGAATCGGTGGCCGTATCCTTGGGTGAAGATTAAAAAAAAAAAACCCCACAAAAACACCTTCTTGCTAAAATTGCTAACCATTATCTGAATTTTCAGCAGATCGTTATCTTTCTAGTGGTGGAGGTTCTTGCCTTGATGTTGATGAAAATGCAGTATCTGGAAAGTGCACTAAAGTGAAGCGCAATAGTGCGAGGTCTGCCTGTACGCAGGTTCATTCCAGATGCCGCAAAGAAAAAGGACGTAATCACTTTTTACAATAAAACTCTCAACATAGCTTACCTTTTGATTCAATAACATTATTATCTCCTATTTTCATCGCTTGGGAATCTGTAAGCCAGAGTTAAGTAAACACTGTAAATATATTCCTCTTTTTTCCCCTACTAATTCACTGTGACCTCATCCTGCACTGGGGTAGGGGACAAAGGCGAGGCATGGGAACAGCCACGCAAGCTTGTCTGGCCAAAATTCATTGCCCAGGGGAGTCTGAAGTAAAGTTTTAATCTTTAAATATAAATATGTCTAAGTCTAAATAAATGACTTCTCTGTTCTTTAAAGAAACGAGCACCTTATACTCCAGTTCTAAGAGCAGCATATTTCCACAGTTGTTCTAAAAAGTTAATACTACCTATCACTCAATAACTTAATATTAACAGTGTTAATGGTTTGATATCTTATATATAATTACATATATTTCCCTTTATATAACTGGGTATTAAATTGTATAAACTTTTGCAGCTTACTGTATTTGGTTCCTTTAAATTTACAAGCATATTATATACCATTACAATTGTTGAAAACATAATTTTAAGTGACTGCTTAATGGTTATAATAGTCCATTTTATATTTTATTTAAATATTTTGCTCTTCTTAAACATTTAGATTTTTTCCTTCAAAACATTATACAATAATGTTTCGCTCACATCATAAGAAGATTTGACTATCTTTTTAGAGTACAAAAATCAAGCAAAAGAACTGGTGACACTCTGGGGAGAAAAACCAAAGAATGAAATATTTTCATCCCTATCTACCATTTCCTTGCATCAGACAACGTACTGTCAACCTAAAACTCTATAGGAATCAAATGGACGCAGCCACGGTTCTTAAATCAGGACAGAAGCCAGGATTACTGTTTCTGTTTCTACCGTCACTGAGTCATTGCTATCTGTCAACGAGTTGTCGCAATAGGAAAAAGACGGCACCCACAAAATGCTGAGCTCAGGTGTGTGCGTGCGTGTACATGTGTGTGTGAGTGCATCTGGAGACGGCGAACTTCCTTTATTCTATTGGGTTATTCCGTGGAAGAGAGGGAATAATTTTTTGATACACTGCAACTCTGCCTTCTCAAAGAACTGGATGACCTAGTCCTAAAAATGTAATTAATATATAATAAATATATTTGATAGATAAATTATGACAATTTCTATGAAGAATTTTGGGTACTAAAAGATAGCTGGGGATGATTTATCTTAAATTATTGTAAAGGATACAACAGCCAACTTCAAATACATTATTGGTGCCAATAATCATAGGTTTGGGGTCTGGATCTTCGGTGTCAGGGGTGATATTGTCAGGGTGACTATAAAAAGAAGAGACAAAACATCAAAAAGTCAATAATGCAATAAGCAATTCTCCTGTTTTGGAATTTGGCTTCATTCTCTCAATTTTATCTACATCATGCTTAAAGTATGCAACCATGTAATTTCTTAATCCAAGTGAGTTACTTATCTCTTATACTTGATTCAGAGTTAAAAAGGAACTACTGAAATGTAAAGAAGTCACAGGTGTATGTAGGAGGACAGCCTTCCTTTTATTAATTAATTAGTTATTCTTTTTAATTGATTTTAGAGAGAGGAATGAGAGAGAGAGACAGAGAGAGACGCTGACTTGCTGTTCCTCTTATTGATGCATTCATTGGTTGATTCTTCTACGTGCCCTGCCCAGGATCAAACGCGAAACCTTGGTATGTTGGGATGACACTCTAACCCAGCGGTCCCCAGGGACCAGTTTTGTGGAAGACAATTTTTCCACGGACTGGGGAGGGAGGTAGGGGGAGGGTGGACTGGAGCCCAGCAGTCATGTGAGCAATGGGGAGCTCCCAGACACGGGGTCAGGGACCCCTGCTCTAACAACTGAGCCACCTGGCCAGGCTGTCCCTTTTATTTCTTAAACACAAAGCTCAGAGGGCCTTCTCCAGGGCAAGGTAAAAAAGATACTGGCCATGGCTTTTATTTAGCCTGTTGAATTGGAATAAAAACCATGCCTAAGTTAACAATTTTTCATACTTAATAATCATTTGTAAATGGATATTCACATAAAATAGTTATTTTATGCTGTGAGGTAGTTAGTTGAAATATTTGGAACATGAAATGTTTGTGATCTAAGAGGAGGAAGTCATTTCAAAATGGTGATCTATTCTTGACTGCTGAGTTACTGCAGAATATAGTTGTTGTTAATTGGCTTATGCTAAAGATGCCAAAATATATTTTAAAAAGAAACAACTTATTAGAGTAAGAAACTCCCAAATCCTAAGTAAGCTTTAAGACCAAAAAAAAAAAAAAAAAAAAAAAAAAATCTCTTTATCAGTCAAATATTTTCCCAAGGTCTTTGTTACAAATTCCACACATTGTTGCTATAAATTAGGTATAAGCTTGAATTTCCTGCCACGATTTTATCTAGAAAGCTTTATAAATGCTTATGAAAATTTCATAGGTATTACAGTGTAGTTCACTAAGATCATGTACATGTTCTAACATCTTATTATTTTTTAATCTTTCAAGTTTAAAAATTGCCTCTAGGACCCCAAATTTTTCAAATATAATTCTGGGTGTTACTCTTACATAGCATATAAAGAAACCTGTCAAAGGAAGGTTCCTGAGTCTGAATAAGAGAAACAACATTTCAGCCAGACCCCAGAAGTCCAACCAAAAGACTTTCTTTCAGGTGACCAGCACAGCGCTTAGATGTTGGAAGTACTCAGGAAATGTCTGCTTAAGGAATAGAGGAGGCAGCCATAGGTAGGGGAAGATTATCAGACTGAGAGTTGGGAAGTCTAGTCAACCACCCTACCAAATCACCTTGGACAAGTCTCTTCACTTACCCCTGGTCTTTCATTTCCTCATTTATTAATCACTTATGTTGAAAAAGGTCTTTAATGCTTCTCTAGTTCTGAAACAGTGGGTTCCCCAGATGTCAATTATAAAAGGTTCCAATAATTAGCTGAAATTAATAAAAACACTCCCTGGGGCACTTGGTTCAGAGTATCTGTGAGAGTCTTACTCACGCATTTATGATCAGCGCCTGTTCCTCTATTAGGTTACCTCCACCAATCACGATTGGTCCGGCCTCCGCAATGATTCGCGCTTTAGGGTGGATCACTGTCCTAGGACCTGTTAAAAGTATGGTGAAAAGAAATTATTAGTGGTGCCTACGCCTCAAACAGGAGCATAGGAGGTGGCTAAGAGGTGGGGGGAGGCTGCTGGGAGGAACGTTTTCTAAGACATGTGCCAGGCACCACACAAGGCACTTTACAAATGTTATCTCCGCAGCTGTTATCATTGGTAGTTAGTGCCAAATCTCAAACCAAGGTGAGTGGAGACAGCACAGGCTTTGGACCCGGACAACCCTGGCTCACCCTCTAATTTTAAACCCCTGCTATCTCAGCAGTGAAGTGGAGGTGGGGTGATAATACCAGTCTTGCAGGGTTGTTGTAAGGATTAGCTGAGATAATGTTTGCAGACCCAGTAGCATATAGGTGGCAGTAAAAATTACTTCCCTTCCTTTCCTTCATAAAGGTAAACCACATAACACTATTTTTTCTTTTTTCTTTTTAAGAGAGAGGGGAAGGGAGGGAGAAAGAGACAGAGAGAAACGCTGATCAGTTGATCAGCTGCCTCTCATAAGCATCCTGACTGGGGACTGAACACACAACCTCTGTACATGCCCTGACTGGGAATCAAACTGGGGACTTTTTGATGACGCCCAAACGGAGCTACACTGGTCAGGCCCACATAACACTTCCTTATGCTACAGGGTTAGTGTTTTTATTATATGATTAAGTGGGACTAGGGGAAGCAAGAAAGTCAGAAGACATGGAAACTAACCTCAGCTTTGTAATTTTGTCACTATTCCTATTATAAGTTTACCCATGGTGAGGAGGCAGAGCTTCGGTTTTCTGGTCTAGGATGTGATTTTTCACCAGTTAAAGGTTAAAGAGAGACAGTAGCAGGAGCCGAATGTGATTACTGGAGTCCTGAGACTCTGACACAGGGAGACCTGAGGCAATGACTCCAATCGCAAACGGAAGGAATCAGGAAAGGGGTCTCGTCACATCCGCTTCCCGATCAGCGTGGCGGAGGCCGTGGCCAGGGCACAGATTCTGGAATGCCAGCACATCCCTCTCCCGGGTTCTATTTACCCAGCCGTAACACGCTGGTGATAATGAAACCACTGATGAGAGAACATAACCTCATTTTAGCCTCTCCCTCCAATGCCCACCCCACCCACCCCCAATTCCAAGGCCAGGTTTGTTTATTGGTTAACCAGCAGACAGGAAGTAACAGAGACAGACAGACAGACAGACAGACAGGGAGAGATAGAGATAGAGAGAGACAGAGACAGAGACAGAGAGAAAGAGGCGGAGTGTTGACAGAAGGTGGGGCGGGAGTCCGGAAGATGACACTGACCATGAAATTCAATTGTATAAATTGCTAATTTATTCAATAATCATTACCTGCTTGTGACATGCAAGAGGCAATGCTGTATGTTATGGGGAAACGAAAAGATATACACTCTATTTTTGCTATTTGAGCTTGTCATCTTAAAAACTGGGAATACCTCACACACTTACAAGTATATCAAAATAAGGAAGGAGGTGCTCCTGGTACCCAAAGAATTGGGAGGAACCTCAGTGCAGCTTCTTTTTCCCCCGAACAATAACGAGCTGGGGAGTGATAAAAGGGTAGGCGGAGCTAAAACAGGATGCTCAAAGGACACACAGTCTGGTAAGAAATAACACCAGAGTGGCTTTGTTATTTCTGTCACTTCCGGCTCCCCAAATCCTCAGCTGCTAAAGTAGAATTTCCCTGGCAAATTTGCCTATTCAGAATGGAGATTTCAGGATAGAAGATGGGATCTCTTAAATTCCTGGGAAGCTGCTCAAGTTGACCATGATTGTGAACACGTGTGCCTTTTTTTCTTTGTTAAAAAATATCTATAAAAGGAATATGTGTTCATTACAAGAAAATTACAGCAAAAAGTGCAAAGATCCTCATGCTGATCCCATTCCCTGGAGGTGACTATTCTTTAAGGTCTGAGGTATATTATTCCAGAATTAAGCACTACTGAATATAAGCCGTATCTCATTAGACAGTTAAAAAATAAATTCAACTTGAAGAGAAAAAGTACTGATTAAAAGCACATACTTTAAAAACAAAAAACAAAAAACTAAGGAATAGTACTTATCATGCTGTAATTTGATTTTTTTTTCACCTAATAAGTCATGGTCATTTTCCCACGTAAATACATCAAAGTAGGTATTTTTTTGTTGGCTGGATAATATTTCATATCATAGTAATATACTGTAATTTATTTAACCAATTCCTTAATAATGAGCTTTTGGACATTATCGCTCTGGCGGGAGAAGTGCTAACCAATGCTGAAACAATCATTGCATTCCTTTGAAATGAGGTATTTCTTTTTTAATAGATCTTATTTATTTATTTTTAGAGAGACAGGAAGGAAGAAACAAAGAGAGGGAGAAAAACATGGGTGCGTGAGAGAAACACCCACGGCTTGCCTCTCGCACGCCTCCAACGGCGGGCCTGCCCTGCAACCCAGGCATGTGCCCTGGCCGAGAATAGAACTGCTGATCTCTCTGTTCACAGGCCGATGCTCAGTCCACGGAGCCACACCAGCCAGGGCCGAAATGAGATACGTCCTACAGGTCTTCCAGCTGTGCAAACCAATTTAAATTTGAAGTTTGCACAATCATAGATTTATACTTTACTTCAAGATGTTCCACGATAAAGGGACAATCTATTTTGAGTTCTTTGTAATTAAAGCCCCAGCCGGCACCCCACCTCTTGCCTAGAAAGACTAGACTCTGGCCTATCACTTAAAGGCTGAATCTCACAAAAACCTGTTTTCTCATCCATACAAAGATGAGAATTATAACTACATCTTTGGGTTGAAGTGTGAATGATAGGAAATAATGTTTGAAAAGGAGATCATGGGGTCTGCCCCATAGTTCTTAAAAAAAAAAAGTTCATCACTATCTCACATTAAGAGCTAACAAATGACTTTATCCCACTCAGCAAAATAACTCCTGGTCTGAGTCACAGAGGAAAAGGATATGTTCTACTCCTTTACTCAGGCCTTCAGGGTGATGCCTCCTTCTAACCAGGACAGAAACTTCTGCCCCGTATTTTAAGATAGTAAAAAATTTAATAAAGGTATCTCCCACACTAGCATTAAAAATCTGAGACAGGACGAAGAGATCACCATGGCTGCCATCAAAAGCAGATCCTTTGCCACTGCTGGGTAAGTACCCAGAGGCCCCAGATACTGCTGGTCCTCAAGTGCAGCTTCTGACAACAAGCAGACTTGCAAGAAAATACCTGAAAATGGACTACCAAGGCAAAGGTACCACTGGGGCCTGTGTCCCTGTAAAAGTGGCTCTTTTTCCTTTCAAAAATGATAATAGTACACGTTAATTATACAAAAAACCAAACTGATACACATTTTTAAAAATTAAACTAATCCCATCTCATGTCTTATACAATATTTAAAAATAATGTCTGAGCTATTGTAACAGGGTGTTTTCTTCTTCTTCTTCTTCTTGTTTTTCTCGTTATTAATAAGTTAGTAAATATCTGGAAAACTGGTTTTAAATCTGAGGGCCCTGCCCTGGGAGGAAGAGCATTACCAGCAACTTAAGTGAAATCTGTGCTTAAGGCACTACCTCCACCTGGCGGCAGCACTGCCAAACTACAAGTCCTGGTGCTTCCGGGCTGAACTTACGCACAAGGTCGAATTATCAACTGTGAGTTGTGAAGTACCAGCAAATGCAATGGGCGACAATAAACTGAATACTTCCTCTACACCACATGTAGGTCTTTTCTGGGCAGACGCTAGAGAGGTGAGAATACATGTACTTCTGTAAATGTGACTGCTAAAATTTTGGATTGGTGAACTTTTTTTTACAGGCTGAATGTAATTTTGTATTTATTATTCTGATTGGGAAGAAAACTTACGTTGTCTCACCTCTTTGACAAAATCCAAATTTGCCACATATACCAGAGTTTGCATGGAACACATGCCCTGACGCCCTGCCCTCCCTCACCCCAACACACGCGCCTGCCCTAGCGAGCGCTCCTGCAGGCAGTCCCCACCCCCTGCCTTCGGCCCGCTAAGTCCGCTGCGACTGCACGATGGCACGCGTGCTCCAGGACGGACAGGCCTGTGTGTGTCTGTCCCAGCGCGGCAAGACCATGGAGCGGGTCTCCGGCAATGACTACGGCGCACCAGTTGGAGGAGGGGATCACAAACCGAAATGTGGGTTTACTGTTTGTCCATTACCCCAAACTGTGTTTCCTTCTCGCTAGTCAAACCCTGGGCTTGCGGGCTGTTTCTATTCCAGCTCATAAATCGATACTAAATATGGTATCAATTACTGTAGTACATTTGAACAAATAACATGTTGGATTGCTGAGCTTCTCAAAGGAAAGTTCTGACTCAGGTGAGTGATGCGTCCGATTCAACTTTGTCTCCGCCTGGCTTCGGGCTGGAGGTCGGCCCCAGAGCACTATTGCCAAGACCCAGGCAGCGAGCGACAGAGCGCTGAAACGTGGGCGCAGTTTGCTTTCCGTTTTTCCGCATGCAATAAGCGCTTTTACCCAGAATGGATCTCAATTCAAACCAAGTTTAAGGGTCTTGAGGTTAAAATGCTTTAAAAATAAAAATCTGTCACCATGGAAAGTCCTTTTTTTAAAAGAGGCTATTGTGAACCTTCTTGGGGCTCTTTCTGGCAGGGGTAGCTTGTATATTTTCTTAACCACATGTGGTGAAACCCTATTTGGCTTATCTCCTTGTTTGGATAAATGTGTCTAGAGTTGGAGCTGCCTTACTGGTTGATGAAATATTTTTCTAAATGGTTGGCTGGGCTTGATTCAACATAGTCAGAAATAATTCCTTGCATCAAATTTCCATTCCCCTCATTTGGTAAAGGACATTTTTCCTCTCTATCTTTGCCACCGAAAGCAAACTTTGAGTTTGTTTTCATATGTCAATAAATAGTTGAAAAAAAACCAAAGCTTTTTTTTTTTTTTGAAAATTAAAAGTCACTTTGACCTGTAAGCTGAAGTACCTGTAAGAACTTCATAGTCCATGAATTTCTCAAGGCAAAGCCACTGTTCTGCCTTACTGAAAAAGATTGCCACTATATAAGGGAAGCTGCTGATCTACGTTGAAAACTCTAATGAAGAGAAAGGCAGAATTAAGTTGGACAAAGGTTCCCATCGCAGAGCTTTTCCACTGTGCCAAGTTCTGCCTTCACGCTGCAATGTCCCAAACAAGCCTGGTCCCTACACCAGGACATAGCCTTTCACCCTGTTGTGCACAAGACTGGAGGACTGTGCTTACTGGTAACTTTCTGAAGTGTTTTCGGCACTCAGAATAAAATTTACAGAAAATAATGCATAACCCATCAATCAAGGCAGCCTAGTTAAAACAGACTTCATACTATGAAACCTTGGGTGAGGATAAAAAAAAAAAATTGCTCTGGCTGCTGTGGCTCAGTGGATTGAGTGCTGGCCCGTGACCCAAAGGGTCGCTGGTTTGATTCTCAGTCAGGGCACATGCCTGGGTTGCAGGCCAGGTTCCCAGTTGGGGGCATGTAAGAGGAAACTGATTGATGTATCTCTTGCATATTGATGTTTCTCTCCTTCTCTTTCTCCTTCCCTTCCCCTCTCTCTAAAAATAAATAAATAAAATCTTTAAAATAATAATAATAATTACATTATTTTAGTGTTACTTTCCTTCTAATTATAGAACATCTTGTGAGCTAATATTAGATATTATTCCACAATCATGATAAAAACCATGAAAGTACGAGAATTGAAATAATGCAGAAGAGTGTTTTGATAAACATATGGACTCAGAGTTTCTCCTCATAAAACATTTACAAGTGGTTGAAGAGTTAACATAGCACTGAAAGTAGGAGTCACCTTCTAAACTTTGAATTTTGTCAATTTAAAATAAATCCAACCTGGCAAATTCCTAATGATATTTCTTAATACTGGCACAGAATTCACTGGTTTCATAAGATGCTGTGTTAGGTTTTAGACAATCACTTGCACAAATATTCTCTTATTTAGTCCTTCAAAAACTTAGGAGGTAGGTACTTCTATTTTGCATGTGACAGTGACTGCCAGTTGCCTCTGAATATCCATTCTTCCCTTTTCCTTGTAATAGAATCCTATTTTATTAAGGGCAGCAATGGGATGAGTTAAGACTACATTTCCCAGCCTCCCCTGCAGCTACATGTAACCATAAAACTAAGTCCAAGACATTAGACCCCAGAAGACAGCTATGTGGAACTATCAGGATGACTATTTAAAGGGAGCTGACCCAACGGAGAGGTACACCATCTTAATCACTGTCACACTTGGTGCTTAAGCCTGCAAGGCTGGAACTCCTGGACAACCAACCAACCAGCTCTGAACTGCCCTTCTCTAGACTTTTTATATAAGAGAATAAACCTTTGCATGATTAAGCCACCCCTACATGTAGCTGAACCTATTTCTGAGACACACATTTACACAGACGGGGAAAATAAAGGTTAGTGAAGTCGAGAAATATGTCTACGGTAACCCAGCAAGTAAAGTGCAAGGATGCTAACCCAAACTGTCACACTCGATGGTCCACACTCTTAACAGTCACACAGTAGAACGTACACTCGACAAAGGCAGTACGTTTTTCTGCTGTATTCCTTGCTTTGTCCCCATGGTAGCATGGTGCCTGGCACATAGTAGGTACACAATAGATGTCCCTCAAATAAATGAATGACTTATTATGGTGCTTCATTAGTTTATCTGATAGAAGTTTCAACTGAGACTCCATCATGTTACATTCTTTTAGAAATATAAAACATGCTTGGAAGAAAATACATTGTTTTGTCAATAAAATCAGGACACCAGTAAAATAGATAAATGTAATACCTAAATATTGTGAAGCACTGAAATTAAATCACATCAATTCTTGGGAAACACCACTAGTAAACCATTTGCTTACCTATAGTTACGTCACCCCTGATTTCACTTTCTACACACACAACTGCTCCAGGAGCGATCTTCACACTGTAGAAAGAAAAGGAGGTAACATTTATCATACGTGAGGCTTAAAAATATTGTCATAGAAGCTATCTAGACACTGTGGTGAAAAAAGGTTAAAAAATGTTAATGGAAAAATGCAAAGTAAAGTGTAAGAGGGTAAGTTTTAATATATTCTAAACTTCTCAGCTGGCATATTATCCATTGGGTTAAATTCATATATGATGACTTATTGTTACAATGCTTGATAGAAAAATAGGCTTTAGATCCTTTTAATGCCAGTATTGTTTCTAAATACCAAAAAGCCGAAGACACAGTTATCCATTTGTAGGGCACTGGTTAATAAATTATGGGATACTATGAACCCATACATAGTCATAAAAAATGAGTAATTCTTTATGTAAATGTTTTAAATGGCCTCCAAGCTAAATGAAGTCAAAAAAGCAAAGCCACAAAATAGACAGTTTATACAGTATGCCACCATTTTTGTAAATAGGGAGGAAAAGAATGTACATTCAAATTCTTTAAACAGCAAGGTAATATTACTGTAGAAATTAGAGCAATGCACAAATGTTCCTATTTATTATCTAACTATATAAAAAACTTTATCAAATGATATAAATGGTAGTGCAAACTGTTCAAAACAAGTAACTTCTACATGATTTATTGATACTTTCTGGTATTCTGCTGTGACCTTTTGTTTGACCCACTGAATCGAGCTAAATGTTGTCCTAGCTGAGCCTTGTGCTGATATAACTACATCAAACGGCTTTCCCGTTAAATTGACAGTCATTAAGTAACTTGTTCTCATCACATGAAGAATTTTTCTTACCAGTAATTATTCATGCCATTAAATCTATTCTCAGGTTCTATGAAATAACAATACCATTTTAGATATTTTCACTTTATCATTCTATTTGGATTTTTCAAAAGTTTGATCTCTAGTCATTCATTACTAGTGTATAGAAATAAAATAATTTTGTATATCGACCTTGTATCCTGGGGCCTTGCTAAAGCCACTCAGTTCAAGTACTATTTTTTTTGGAGATTCTCTGGGATTTTCCACATAACAAATTCTGTGTCTGTGAATAGGAACAGTTTTATTTCTTCTTTTTTCCAATCTCTATGACTATCATTCCTTTTTCTTGTTGTGCTTTCCTGCCTAGGGCTTGCGGTACAATGTTAAATAGGAGTGAGGAGACCAGACAGCCTGGCCTTGTTCTCACTTCAAAAGACCAACAAAAACTATCAAATTATCTTCTAAACCATGAATTTTGCATTTTAAGTAAATTATTAAAACCTGGTATATGAAACAACAGAGGCTTCGTTGACCAAAATGTTAGTGCCTTGATTTATAAATTTTTCAAAAAGTTCTTTTCTCATTTCAGCAAATGTTTTACAACCAGCAATGACCAGAAATCTAGATGGCAATGAATCATTCATATCAACATTATTTTTTAAGTTCTGTAATTATTCATGTATGAAAATGCTTACTTTTAACTTAAGAGTAGATAATATAATACAGATGTCTTTTTGACACTTGATTAAAAAATTGTTATTGCAAGTTTTTTTCAAATGTTTTACTGTGAATAGATTCATTTTTTTTTTTAAAGGTGTTTTTAAGTTTTTTTCTAAAGCAGGGAAATCCCTTTAGAGGCCAGGCAGGTAATATTTATTCTAGGTAAAGAATGGCAGGAAGTGAGAAATTATATGTAGATGGCTAAGTCCCAGTGTCACTTAAGAACATTCAGATGAAAATAAAAGAAACCACATTGTTCTGATCAAATGAAGCAAATGTACAAGGGAATAAATTTCACCCCCATTGCAGCATGCACTCAGAAGAGAATATTCTAATTTTGCCATTGCCAGAACAGCTCTTACTTCTTTATATCCCTCTCCTGGTGCTTCCAGTGATATTTTAAAAATTCAGCAGTATGTTTATTTCGTTATAATGGTCCCCTGAGTGTTGTACTATGAATATTTTGGCTGGATTCCTTCTGTCTAGGTCATTGCAATAGTTAATTTGCTCCATCTGAACTTTCTTATATCATGTCTCTCTATATTCTATCTGGTTATTAATCAAATATTAGAAAGTCTCATTTCCTTTTATATTTTTTACTTTATTGGGTTGACATTGGTTAGTAAAATTATATAGGGTTCCTGTGTATAATTCTGTAATACATCATATGTATATTGTATTGCCTGTTCACCACCCCAACAGATTCATGTTTTGAATTTGTCTTCCTTGAAGACTGCAAATTGTCATTATACCTAACAGGACCTTACATAGAACATGCTTGCCATTCTAATAAAATATTTGTATTTATTTAGCACAGTGAAATTTTCTAACTTTTGAGCATCACTTACAACCAGTGCAATCCATATAGCTATACTACTGTATTAACTGCTGAATATCTGTAATTATTTGAATATTTCTAAATTATCTCAGGAAAAGCAGATAAGAAACTATTACTATTCACTGCCTGCAGACAGAGGAGCTGGACAGCAGAGACACAAGGGTAGATGGAAGATTTTTTTCATTAAATACCATTTTTCAATCATTTTCATTTTGAATCACATAAATACATTCCCTATTCAGTAAATGAAACACAAAAATTGATAACATTTTCTTTTTTAAAAGATTTTATGTATTTATTTTTAGAGAGAGGGGAAGGGAGGGAGGGAGACAAACATCGATATGTGAGAGATACGTCGATCAGTTGCCTCTTGCACACCCCCAACTGGAGACCTGGCCTGCAACCCAGGCATGTGCCTGGACCAAGAACTGAACTGGCTACTCTTTGGCTCGCGGGCTGGAGCTCACTCCAGTGAGCCACATCAGCCGGGGTGATAACATTTTCTTTCTCTTTTTTAAATCCTCACCTGAGGACTTGCTTATTGATTTTTTAGAGAGGCGGGTAGGGAGGGAAAAAGAGAGGGAAACATTGATGGGCTGCTATTTGAACACGCCCGACTGGGGACAGAACCCACAACCTAGACATACACCCTGACCAGGAATCCAACCTCAACCTTGTGGTTTGCAGGTTGATGCCCAACCAACTGAGCCACACTGGCCATGGCTGATAACATTTTCTTAAGACCAGGTGCCAAAGAGGCCCTGGATACATTTCCATACTCAGGGTGAACTTCTATCCCCCTTCCTAAAAAGGACCCCCTCTGATCATTATCCCAACAAGTATCTTCCCCCTTCAATTTTATTTTATCTAAAAATACCTTCTTGGACTTCTGGTCAAGATGGCAGCGTTGGTAAATGTGGTACTCACATCCTCCCACAACCACATCAAAACTACAACTAAACTACAGAACAACCATCATTCAGAACGGCCTGAAAGCTAGCTTGAAAGGATGTCCTACAACTAGGCATTCAAGGAAGAAGCCACTCTGAGACGGGTAGGAGAGGCAAAAACACAGAATGGGCTGGTCCCACACCCATCTGTAAGAGTTTAAAATTGGGAGGGATTTCTCAGCTGCAGATGTTGCCCGTGGGGCGCCAGGGGTCCCCGCTGCACACCAAGCCTCCCAGCCAGGGTTGCAGAGTCAGGAAAGGAAGTCCCCATAACTTCTGGCTGTAAAAACTAGCAAAGATGTGGCTGAGTGAGACGGAGATCTTCTGGAGTCCCAGACAGTTTCTCTTAGAGGGCCTGCATGTAGACTTACTGGGACTCGCTGCCTCTGAGTTCCAATGCTGGGGCAGCAGCTTGAAAGGAAACAGGGACATATAGGCAGGAAATGAATTGTCTGGCATCAGGGCAAGAGCTGGTCTGGCAGCTTTCTGCCAGGCAAAAGTGCTGGCAGACACCACTGTTCCTTTTCTGAGACCTCTCTCCCAAATGCAGATCTGGCAGGTGGGAGCCATATCTGGGACTCCATCAACCATCACCCTACCCTGGTGATTCCCTGAGATCCTTGCCCTACCTAACTTGTGGGTCCACCCAAGCTTTTTTCAGTGGCTTTTCCATATAAATGGCTTCTCTCGCCTCGTGCTTCAGATTTTCCTATGGTCTCCTAAAAAAGCAGCATCTAGCCTCTGCATACCCACACCTCTTGCTAAGTGGCCCCAGGCCTGGCACTAGAGGCAGCTGGCCTTTGTTTGCAGCCTGGCCTCTCCTGGGCACCTCCAAGGTAGCAGCCATTTGCAGACTGCTCTGTAGCTCATGCCGGATGGCCCCAGGCAGGGCACAGGCAGTGGCTGACCTTGCACCTCCTGGGAGGCCCCAGAGCCAGCACCCCCCGGGGGCCAGCTTCAGACCAGGCTAGATTACAACCCAACCACCTCTGCGAATGACACACTCAAGGGGTAGCTTCGGTGAGCACCAAAGCCCCACTGAAGCAAGTCCTTCTCTGTAGGGTCGACTGCTGCACAGCAGCTCCTCTGCTGCAGTCACAGCTGGTCAATCCCTCCCAGTGATGCCGACTGCAACCAAGGTTCAACTACAATAGGAGAGTGTATACAGCCCACGCAGGGGTACACCTGGAGCACCTGGCTCTGGTGACTGGGGAAGCTGTGCAACTGGGCACTATACGACACCAACTATACGAGATCACTCAGCCAAGTCTGGCTGACGCAGTGGCTCTACCTAATACACAGAAACAAAAAGAGAGAAGTAGCCAAAATGCAAAAACAAAGAAACAAGTCTCAAATGAAAGAACAGGAGAAGTCTCCAGAAAAAGAACTAAATGAAATGGAGGCAAGCAAATTAACCAGATACAGAGTTCAAAACAATGGTTATTAGGATGCTCAAGGAACTTAGAACTTCAACAGCATGAAAAAGGACAATGGAAACCATAAAAAAGAACTAGTCAGAAGTGAACAATATACTAACTGAAATAAAGAACAATTCACAGGTTACAGGGAATCAACAACAGAGTAGACGAAGGTGAGAATCAAATCAGCAATTTGGACTTTAAGGCAGCAAAAAACACCCAACCAGAACAGCAAAAATAAATAAAAATAAAAATAAAAATAAAAATAAAAACAAAAATAAAAATAAATGAGGCCAGTATAAGGAGCCTCTGGGACAAAACCAAGCATACCAACACTTGTATCACGAGGGTGCTGGAAGAAGAGAGAGCAAGAAACTGAAAACCTGCCCTGGTTGGTGTGGCTCAATGTAGTGAGCGCTGTCCCACAAACCGAAGGTCACAGGTTGGTTTCCCAGCACATGCCTGGGTTGCGGGCCAGGTCCCCAGTTGGTGTGCAAGAGGCAACCCACCAATGCTTCTCTCACACATCTTTGTTCTCTCCCTCTTTTTCTCCCTCCCTTCTCATCTCTCTAAAAATAAATAACTATTTTTTTAAAAAAGAAATTGAAAACCTATTTGAAAAAAATGACAAAAACCTCCCCTAACTTGGTGAAGGAAATAGACATCCAAATCTAGGAAGTACAGAGAGTGCTAAACAAGATGAACCCAGAGAGGCCCACACCAAGACACAGAGTGACTAAAATGGCAAAGGTTAAAGATAAAGAATCTTAAAAGCAGCAAGAGAAAAGCAGTTAGTTGCCTACAACGGAGCTCCCATAAGACTGTCAGCTGATTTTTCAACAGAAACTTTGTAGGCCAGAAGGGAATGACAAGAAATATTCAAAGTGAGAAAAGGAAGGACCTATGAGCAAGATTATTCTACCCAGCAAAGCTATCATTTAGAATTGAAGGACAGATAAAGAGCTTCCCAGACAAGAAAATGCTAAAGAAGTTCATCACCACCAAACCAGTATTACATGAAAAGTTAAAGGGTTTTCTTTAAGAAGAGGCCTCCTTGACTGAGGCCTCCTTGGCTCAGTGGATTGGGTGTCATTCTGCAAACGGAAAGGTCACTAGTTCAATTCCCAGTCAAGGCACATGCCTGGGTTTTGGGTGAGGTGCTTGGTTGGGGGAGTGTGAGAAGCAACTAACTGATGTCTCTCTCCCTCTCTCCCTCCCTTCCCCTTTCTCTAAAAGTAAATCAATAAAATCTTTCAAAAAGGATAAAAGGTAAAAATATGAACAATGGAATGGCAATAAATATTCTATATATCAACAATTGAATCTAAAAAACAAAATAAATGAACAAGCAGAACAGAAACAGACTCATACACAGAGAACATTTTGACAGTTGCCAGATGGGAGGAGAGGGGTTGGGAGGATGGGTGAGAAAGGTGAAGGGATTACAGAGTACAAATTGGTAGTTACAGAACAGTCATGGGGATGTACAGTACAGCATATCGAATATAACCAGTAATAGTGTAACAACTGCGTATGGTGTCAGATTGGTATGAGATTTATCAGAATGATCACTTAGTAAGTTATATAATGTCTAATCACTGGGGTACACACCTGAAACTAATATAATATTGTATGTCAACTGTAAAGGAAAAATAAAGAGATTAAAAAATATAAAAATACTTTCTTGTAATTCTTAAGTATCATTTAATGAATTTTAGACTCCTCAGCTTCCCATTAAGTCCAGTTGTTCTGTTCTTTTAAATCACTTCTCCCATTGCTTCAGCAACAATCCTCTTTAACCAAGGACAGCATTATCATTATTCATTAGTATCACTTCTCATTAATTTCAATCTTTAAATAAATGACCTATCATAAATATAACCCATTTATGCCATGTTGAAAGCTATCTGGAAACAACCTGCCATTTTGGATGTTTTTTCTGTAAGAGGTGAAGGATGTGATGAACGTATCACCCTTTGTAAATAGTAACTCTCTAATGCCTTTCATTTAGAATGGGCTTGTGTGTTAAAATATGTAATTGATTAAGCTTTGGACAAATACATTACGCTTTATAAATGCCTCTTGTTTTAGACCTTATTTCCCATTCCAACTTTCCACTCCCTCAGCCTCCCTCTCACTATGATTTTTAATGAAAAGAGCATTATTTAACATTTAACTTGTCCTGGACAAGTGAGGTTAAGAACGATTCCTAAGTGTCCCTTTGTCTTCAATTTTGTGCCTAAGGGAGAGGCCCCAGGGAGGGTTTGTGTCAAAATCGGCATACTTCTCTGTGTGGCAGGAAATACTTAAATTCACCATTCTATCAACTAGACCCCCTGCACGTCTGAGAGGTGGGGCAAAGCAGAGGGCAGGCAACTGGGAGGAGGCTTAGCCAAGATCTATTAAAATAAGTCAGCAATAAATACGTTCATCACCGCCGTACACTACTGTATAATGTACATAATATTCATAGTGGATCTGTTCCTCTGTAGCTTATGAAAAGATATTAGTTACTCGCCTAAGTAGAACAACCACCTAAATTTTAATTTATGGCACCAGAAACACTGTCAGTTTTCTTCGTCAAAGCGTCAGCAGAGGGTGCTTAACCGTGCTGCTTTCGGAAATAGTCTGACTTAAGCATTTCTCTCATCCAAGCTGTTCCTTTCACCAACAACAGTTCCTAGCAATGGGGACAGCTGGAGAAGAAGCCACAATTCCTGTCCTCACAGGTTTACAAAGCAGCTTGTCCACGCCTCAGTTCTAGTCCAGGCGCGGTCCCCCTTTTGACAGGCGACAGTAAATTATTTTACACAAATACACATCGCCCACGACGGGTGAAAAGGGGTGGGGGGGCGGCCAGCACTGCTGTTGGTGCCTAGAAACAGACACCGGAGAATGCAGTTCCCAGCCGTCGGGGACCAGCCGCACCCAGCGCAGAGGCAGGGACCGCGCGACGCCAATCCTTCGCAGCCCCCGCCCCAGGCCCCTTCAGCGCAGGCGCGTTGAGGAGGGACGGCGAGGAAGGACGGGGATGAAAGAACCAAAACGTTTCCCAGCACCGCCTCCGTGTCCCTTCCCAGGCCGACCGATCCCCGTTCGGTCGCCTCCTCCCTCAGCGGAAGCCAGGCCTGGACTTTAGGAACCATCCAGGCCGAGCGTCAGGGATAGGACACTATCTCAGTCCCCACCACTGGCGACCAGGAACAGTTCCACCTTTGCAGAAAGCTGAGAACAGGCTTTTCTCAAACAGCAGACCCACCTCTCCTGTGTCTTCTCCGCCATGGTTTTGCCCGGGTCTCCAATTGGAGCCGAGATCGACGCAGGCGGCTGGATAAAGCGATGATCTCTGCAAGCGATTGCGTAGCCTGGCAGGGTTGGGAGGGGGCGGAGCAAGGTTGGGGGCCTGCTCGACTCGGGCTCCGGGCTCCGGGCTCCGGGCTCCGGGCTCCGCCTCTGCCCGCCCTCTACCAAATCGTTCTAGGTAGAGGTGTGTGACCACCCACAGGTTTTAACGGAGCCCAAGTGTCGGTAGATCCAGATGTAAAACAGTCGTTTAGACCTGTCCGGTGCACATCAGTATGTCCTCATTATACTCAACTGTTCATTTTTTAGTCTTCTTCCCGGTCTCTATTCCTTAAGGATCTTCCTGTAAACTCTAAGCCCTTTTCCTGTTCAGTCAGTTGATCTCTTCCTGGATGAATTTATCAATCGCATAAATTAAGTACCTCGAACCTGCTGGCTTTCTGGGGTTAATATCTCAAGTTCTGTCTTCTTTGCTGAGTCTCACACCTGATTATTTCAATTGTCTACGGCCTCAAAGTTTCATCGAACCTAAAATGTCCAGAATGGAGCTTTCGATTTACCCCTGGTCCTCTCTTCAACCAATTGGTCCTTTGATCTCCATCCCAGAAAAAGAATCCACCATTCATCACCCAGGTGCTCAAGTCAGAAACTCGAGTCATTCTAGGCCCTCCTCACCTCTCCATATGTCCGGCAAGTTCTGCTGGTCCTACATCTGGTGTCTATTATTCTTCCACTTTGCACCTACCTCCTCTCTAATCTTAGCTCTCCTATTGCCTGCTCCTTTCACCCTTGACCTCTAAAGGCACCCCACCATTCACGCCCCTAGTCCATGCAAGCTCGTGGGTAAAACCATGCTTTAAAAACCAAATCCAGTTTGTTTTTTACTTCTTGTTCCTTTTAAAATTCCAGCCTCTTTCCATAACCAACTCTGTGGTCCACCAACCCTTGCCTACTTCTCTCTTCTTTAATTTCATCTTCCTCTTCCAGTTTCTCTAATCACACTTTCATTCGGCAGGAAGCCAAGTTAACTCTCCACCACAGACAGCTTCGACCTGTCCTTTGCCCATCCTTCTTTAACCCTTTAAGTCTCAGGTCACACATACTGAGTGTATCAGCTTTTTCATTACAGCTGGTGTCAGTGAAAGTTGGGTTTGCTAGAATGGCCCTGGCTCATTGAAACATGTAGTTTGGGAATAGGGAATATAAAAGTTTAGGCAATGAAGAACCTTTGATCTCTCACGGCTACTGGCAACTGATGGTAGTTGTCCCGACGCCAATTCAACAGTAATACAGCATGGCTGTAAAAACAGCACAGCTGTGGAACAGTTCAATACCCAGGCCCCTCTTCAGCTAGGCATCTGTGCCCTGCGATGATGTGCTTGGTGATGATATGCTCTGCCTTGCCCCCGGCCAGTCTGCACCTGGATTCTGCAGCTGAGCAGTCTTCTCTGGAAAGTGAGCTCTTGGAGCCAGAGGGGAGCTGGCTTATGTAGAGAGAAGTCGCTGTCCCGGGTCCCTGGTTGGTCAGAATAGAGCCTCTCTGATTGGTCAGAGCTGCGCCGCTCTATTTGGATGGGGAAAGCCTCAGTCCTATTTGTTGTTGAAATAGGACTCGGGGAACTCCTTGATAAGGGCTGGCTCAGGTGGCAGAAACACAGTGCAGGCTGGCAGGCAGGTAGGTTAGAGGCTTCTTCATTAAGTGCAGCTTGCATGAGAGGTTCCTGTGCAGAAATGATTGCTAGGCTATTGTTTGGGTTGTTTTGTTGTTGTTGTTTTGTTTTTTCCCTTTCCCAGTTAGCCACAGGAGCCCTCCTTAGTCCTCAGGGTTCATGCAACCTAGTCATCCATGGTTTAAACCTGCGTCTGTGCTGTGATCAGTTACTAAATGTATAAATTACCAATGGAATTTAGAGATAGGGTAAACACACTCTGGAGGAGTTGGCTAATTGAATACATGAGGACACGCAAAGAGTAAGAAGCATGCTAAACATGCAGTCCCTTGGCTATTGCTATCTGTAATAGCTAAAATGAAAGAAAGCTCTGGGTCAGAACGTGATGCTGGACAAAACAGATTTGGGTCAATCTGAGCATCAGCTACTAGGCTTAAAGCTGCCCACAAAGGGAAAAATGCCAGCACCAAGAAGTTAGCCAATGTGAGCGGCAGGACTCAGAGTTCCCTGCTTCCAATCATAGCTTGGACTTCCTGGTGCTCAGCCCCGATCTGGGAGCCCATTCAGAGTTGCCTCATTAGAACAAACGATGCTCCTAGTTCTCTTGCCATTTAGGAATTTACAAAGGTTTTAGGAACTCTGTGTCAGGAACTGGGAGCAGAAACCTATATATATATACTTTTTTTTCTGTTATCTCGCGGAAATAATTTAGAATATTCTGTTGTCCCCAAGCATATAAATACCAATTCATTTTCAAGAAATGGTTGTTTAATTAATTAATAACATGAAAGACTTCCATGGTATATGTATTAGTCAGTGTTCTCCAGAGAAACAGAACCAATGGTGATACAGAGATAGATAGAAAGATGGATGGATGGATAGATAGATGTGGATATAGACATATGCATATTGGGGCTGGCAGGCCTGCAATTTGTAGTAGACCCACAAGCTAGAAATTCAAGGAAGAAGAGTTGATGTTGCAATCTCAGGTCCAAAAGCTACATGCAGGAAACTCAGACAAGGTTTCTATGTTACCGTCTTGAGGCCCAGTTGCTTCTTTTTTGGGGAAATCTGTCTTTGCTCTTAAGGCCTTCAACAGATTTGAAGAGGCCCACCCACTGTTTTACTCAGTCTTCTGATTTAAATGTTAATCTTATCTTAACATTGTTTGCCTAAACAGCTGGGCAGCATAGCCTGAACTGACACAAAATTAACCATCATAGCATGATTATACAAAGGACCGTTTTATCAACACTGGGTACCATGTCTAGGGCCTATAAACTTTTCAGGGACCTACAAGATGATTGAGACCTGAAAATAAAATGTACCAATTTCAAAATACAAAAAGAAAAGAACAAGTAGGAATTAATGAACATTTTTTAATGGCTTTTTTTTTAAAGATTTTATTTATTTATTTTTAGAGAGATGGGAAGGGAGGGGGAGAGAGAGAGAGGGAAAGAAATATTGATGTGTGAGAGATACATCAACTGGTTGCCTCTCACACGCCTCCAGTTGGGGACTTGACCTGCAACCCAGGCATGTGCCCTGACTGGGAATCGAACCAGCGACCTTTTGGTTCTCAGACCAGCCCTCAGGCCACTGAGCCACACCAGCCAGGGTGGAATTAATGAACATTTAATTCAGTGACAAAAAGCATAACTTTTTTTGTAACAAATCAACTGCAACTCAATTCTTCCGTACCAAGCAATTATATTTAATGGGAAATGCGGTTGCATTTAATATGTTTAATATGATGTGAGCTCACTGATTGCTTAGGAAGCCCTCTCCTCCCCATTAATTGTTCTACTGTTTGTCAAGGTCTTTGCACCATCTGTGACCTGGAGTAAGCGATCCATCTGCTTGGAAACATCCTTCCAGAGCCAATTTAAAAGCATTTCCACTTCTCTTGCTTTTGAAAAATTCCCTGCCTCTACCAATAATTGCTTCTTTATTTATCTGCAACAGTGGGCTCCTGACATTTCTAGTTCTTTAAGGAAAGTATTTGTTGCCATTTCTGTCTTCCTTGGAGATTGAGAGCTACTTGAGGTCAGGGGCTATGTCTTATTCATCCTCATATTTCTACTGCTTAGCACAGGTCTCTCACAAAAACATGGTCCTTGCCCTTACAATGCTTTTGTAGCAGGTTACACTGTCCCCGTCCTTTATGGGAGGCTGCTTGCTCTTGCACGGGTCTTTGGAGATGAAAAATGGCCGGTCTTGGAGAGCGCTGTGATGTGCTGGGCTCAGTAGGTGGACTCTACCAGCCACGAGATGGCCGTTGTTCTTGTCCCCGCTCTAGGCATGTCTCCTGTATTTGTCTCACCCCGAAGAGCAGCTTCTCTTTAAGTGTTTCCTCTCCACACTTTTGCTTCCTTAAAACCTTTTTAACTTCAGCAAGTATATACTGAGTGCACAGTATGTCCCTGGCATTGTTCTATGTGCGGAGGGGAAACAACAATAAACAACAAAAAAAGGCCTTTCCTTGCAGAGCCCACATTTGTAGCAGGGGGACAGGCAACACACCAATCAAGAAATAGACTTATAAGGGGTGTTGACAGATACTGTGGGGGAAAAAAGTAGCATGTGGAGGACAGCGGGGGTTGGAAGGAGGAATCTTCTTACCCTTTGAAAACCTACCTCCCTTCCTCATGTTCGTGTTCTCATCCCTCCTCCCCTCAGCCCACAACTGGGAAGTAAGATTTTTCTTTAACTTAGTGAAGAAACTATGACAGTCAGATGGCTGGAAAGACAAATACCGTGGTATGTAAATTAAACAAAGCCAGAACTTCGGAAAGCAATGGTTTTAGTACATGTCATTATTAAGTAACATGACCCCCAATATATTTGCGTTTCTATAGTGCCATTTGCTTTATCAGAGAGCTCACTTATGTGCTGCTATCGCCACTGCTTTTGTTTGCCTCTTGCCGGCCCAGGCCTTGCCAAACCTTATAAAAAGATCAAAGAGAACCTGGCTGAGGATTCTGTTGCAGGAAGGCACCAGCTAAGGACTCTGGAAAGGACAGTATCTTTTGTCCAGTGCACAATGGGTTGGCTTCAGCTGTTTTTTCTCCATCCTGTCTCACTTTACCAAGGGGCTGCCTTTCCTTTTGCACTTCTGTTTAATTACCTATGCAACATGGATTCATTTTCCACTCATGCCAGGTAGGTTTGATAGCTAATTTTGTTCTTATATCTGTGAATGCTATGGTAGGTCAAAAAAGACGGATTGGAGTGCAGATGTGAAGATTACATACACTGGTTGTTTTAAGGTGTCACTGCCACCGGTTATGATTACTTGATCACAAATGTGTCTAATAGGGTAAAGCTGAACTGGAAATTGACATCGTGTCTGCATTGATTCAGCCAAAGTTTGATAGGTTCACATTAAATGAGAAGGTATGAAAAGAAACTGGGAGAGATGGCTGCGGAGGTGGTACAAGAATGCCCCAAGGGGATGTGTGTATACACCAACCCTACGCCAAATGTGTTCTTGAACAGTTGTAATTTCATGGAACACTATCATGTTCAATACAATTAAATTTTATTAAACATATATAACTAAATGTGATTTTAAAATGCCTTTGTATGATTTTTTAGAGAAGTGAAAGAAGTCAAAGCAAATTTTGTTAGATTAGCTCTATCTCAATCTGGGGTTCAAAAATTATTGTCACTAGAGAATTTGTAACTTGATTGAAATGATGTTTTAATAACTAATAAACTCAATACATTAGAGACCATTTCTATTTTTTTAAAGATTTTATTTATTTTTTAGAGTAAGGGGAAGGGCAGGAGAAAGAGGGAGAGAAACATCAGTGTGTGAGAGAAACTGGGAACCTGGTCCGCAATCCAGGCACGTACTGGTTTGCAGGCTGGCACTCAATCCACTGAGACACACCAGCCAGGGCAAACAGTTTCAATTTTTTAAAAAGTTTTGTGGAATATCCTTCTGCAAAGTGAAAATCCATTGCCAAAGGGCTACTTCCTCATCACTTGTTTTGGAAATTAGGATTTCACATATGGGGGTGTTCTTAAGTAAGATTTAGCTGTTATAACTGGTTGATGGCCTCTATCTTCATTTAGTAGTTGGGGGAGGCAGTTGTAAAAAAACTTTCTGTTCAGAAAGAATCACAAACAATAAAGCAAAACAAGTGCCAACTCAGGGTTAATTCCCATAGGATTGAGATTGCTGGCTTTGGAGGCAGCTGGTGTGTCCCGGTGCCCTCAATTTGTGTGTGTGTGTGTGCTTGTTTACATGAATAAACTCTCAAGTTGATCTGTAAAATGGAAATAATAATACGTATCTTCTGGGGTTATTATAAAGATTAAATAAAAATGTTTCCTCTAAAGGGATTATTAGCACAATGTTTAGAATGAAATAAGCACGTAAAAAATCGTGCATCCTGCATTGTACGGGTATAGACACTTTGTTGTTTACAGATACTCAGGGCAGTTGCCTCCAGGTAGAGCGTTGTCAGGCTTCCCCTTGTTCTGTATAAGGACTAAGTGTTCCTCTTGTTTTCCGAGGCAGGAATATGAGGGCTTGGACGAGTGTTCACAGCGGGGAAAGTAGGGAGGAGCTAGCCCAACATAGGCTCTAAGAGAAGCACACGAATGGCCCAGGGCCTGTGTAATAGATTTCACTCTGAAGCAATGGCCAGTCTCCTTCAAGAAAGAAGCTTTCACCACAGCACGCATATCACTGTGCCACGCTGCCATGGTCTGTGCCTTGTGAGGCACAGTCCTCTTTGACTCAGTTTTCCTGTCCCTGACTAGTCGGTCTGTGTTTTGCACCTTTTCTGACCTTTTCATTCAGATTTATTAATTTGGCACCAATTAGAAATAAACAGTCCTCCTTATACTGTGACATCGCCCAGGCCTCTGCGGCTTCTCAGGGCATCCGCTGGCTGCAGAGGGAGGCAAGCTGCACAAACCACTTCATTGATGTGGCTTTTTACAACGTCAAAAGCCACTAACTCGTGGTATCTTTAAGTTGCAGTAGAGAGGATTAAGGAGAGAGATATAAAGATCTTCTAATTGAGTTTTCAAACACTGATCAAAGGAAGGCATTGAGTGTTTCTTCTTCTCTCTGAAACGGTTCAAGACAATGCAGCCCTGTAAAAAGGGAAGAGATTCATCTTTTACTTTAAATAATTTTTAGTTTTCAATTACAGTTGACATACAATATTATATTAGTTTCAGGTGTACAACCCAGTGATTAGACATTATATAACTTACTAAGTTAGAATCCCAATAAGTCTATATCTGACACCATCCATAGTTATTACAATATTATTGACTATATACTCTATGCTGTACTTAACATCCTTGTGACTGTTCTGTAACTACCAGTTTGTACTTCCTGGTGACACGATGTCTAGAGAGATCCCCTCGATCCTCAGTGACAGATTGATATCACTTTCATACCGCTATATTTTGAAGATGTTCCTAGTGGGAAGCCTTCCAGACCTGTCACTCACAGGATTTTTAGGGGCAGGTATTGTTCCTACTTGAATGGTGAACATCAAAAAGAGATACCCAGGGTCACTAAGGCAGGAATCAAGATTTGCCTCTCAAGGTAATCATCCACAAATTCACTCGGGCTCTTTCTCCCATCATTCCTCCCTTCAGAAGAGAAAAAGGAAGATTTGGGAGTGATAACAGTAAGACTTCTTGAGGGGTTATGTGAAGCCTGCTTCAATTGGGTTATTCAGAGTGACATCTGAAGTGACTCATGGGTTGCACTGTTCTGAGTCAGCCTCACGGGTTGTGCCTTTTCTTTCAGGCACCTCTTTCTCCTGACTGGAGGAGGCATCTTGGCCTTGGCTGCTATGGGTTCCTTTGCTGTGCTTGTCTTCGTCCCTGCTCTGTGCGCTGTGGTTCTGATCTGCTCCCTCGGCCCACAGGAAGTCCACAGGTGCACTTTCTTCTTTCAGATGAGCTGGCAGACGCTGTGCCACCTGGGTCTGCACTATACTGAGTATTACCTGCAGGAACCCCCTTCTGCCAGGTAAAGCAGTGTGTCCATTTGGCTGTACTGAGCTGACCACGGGTTTGTAGGCACTGTGGTGAGAATTGAGTAGGAATCTGAATATCTCCACATTTGAGCCATGTGACCTAGAGCAAGTCATTTAAGCTCCCACAGCCTCAGTTTCTTTTTCTGAAAAAATGTGTGTGTGCTGGCAGTGGGGTATAACAATACCTATCTTGCAAGGCTCTTATGTTAGAGATAATGAATTACATGTAATTATATGACTGCTAACTACCACATGTTACCTACAAAGCCCAGTCTGGCACTTAGCTGTAATTATCAGTGTGCCAGAGGAACGGGTTGGCCCAGGAGTCGCAGGACCCACAGAGGAGGTGGCGGCACTGACTAGGCATGGTTTGCTAGCCTTTGTGTGGGTGGTTTCAATGTCAGCAGCCTGCCCTCCCCTTAGCAAGACAGGGAAGTACAAATCCATTGTAAACCTTGCTGCCTTCCCACAGCACCTGCTGTACAAGAAAGAGTTGTACTGTCATCGAGACTCAGCTGTTCCCATCCTCCCAGAAGGAAGAAAGTCACCCGATCTAGAAAAGGAAAAGTCAGGCGTTAATTACAGCCTAGAAGAATGTTTTCGTGAACCAGTGAAGATTACGAAGATTAGGGGGAAACATGTCTGTGAGATCTTAGGGCCTATGTTTCAGGTTCCTCTGTCATCACAGTTGATGTGGCTCCATGGTCACTCAGAGAAGTGGGGCTTTGACCTGTTGAGGTGGGTCACCTCTCTGGCTCCAGCCTGCCATTGATTCACTCACTTTGCCATCCCTACCAAGCCTAGGATCCTCTTCTCCTGTTTCACCAAAGCTTCAGGGTTTGCTGCTTTGAAGAAAAGGCAAGATGGCAGGTGGGTAGGGGGCAGGGAGTACTGACAGGGACGTGATGGATTAGGATTTCAGTGGGAGGAACAAGCCCTGCAGGACCTGGCTGGCTAGGAGGAAGGCTGAGCCAGAGCTGAAAGGGGAAGCCGTACTAGTTTGCTCTGACATAACAAAATACCACAGACCATGTGGCTTAAACAGCAGAAATTTATTTCCTCTGGAGGCTGGAGTTCAAGATCAAGGTGCTGTAGGTTCAGCTTCTTCTGGGGCGTCTCTCCTGGGCTTGTAGATGGCCTTCTTCCCCCTGTGTCTTCATAGGAGGGTCTTCCTCCACTATGTGTCTGTGTCCTGATCTCCTCTTATAAAGACACCAGTTGCATTGGTTTAGGGCCACCCTAATGACCTCATTTTAATTTACTTACCTCTTTAAACACTCTATCTCCAAATACAGTCACATTCTGAAGTACCAGGGGTTAGTACTTCAACATATGATTCTGTAGGGGACACATTCAGCTCTTAACAGAAGGCAAGTGAAAGGAGATTGGTGGCATTTGAAGGCTACTTTGCATACTGTTAAGAGAAGTGAAAAGGTCAGTTGTCCTTAAATCCCCAGATGTGCAGACAGAAACAGCAGTGATTGGGAAACATGCTATTTTCTCTTCATAGGAGAGCCCTCCTAATTGTAGAGTGTGTCATTGTAATTTTCATTTTTTGCACAATAATCTTGTCAGCGGGATCTTCTCTACTTTGTGATGGTGAGGCAAGGTCAGTCAGATGACTGACTGGCTAAGAACTCACCTCACATTGCTAAGGACTCAGCGCACACGCTGACCCTCTGGCCTGATTCATGTCCGTAGGCACAAATCCCTAAGTCAGGGACGGGTTTGTTTTTAAAATCTTCAACTTCCTATGATCTCTTCACTACTAAGCTTTTCTTTCTTCTATGGTAAATGTCTCCCAGGCCCCTGACCCTAATCTTTATAAGCTAAGCCCGTTAGAAATGTTATTATCAGTATTTCCCCACAATATTCCTTGTCATCTTTTGTTTGCCTCTCTAATGATTTATCTCCCCATCTATGTTTTGATCCTGCCGGGGTTCGCCTGTGGTTCCGAATTACCCCAAGGGTCTTTTGGGGGCATTCCAGGCCATGAGATTGGTCTTGATTGTTCAGAACGTCCCATTTGCTGTGAAGTCATGTGTGAGGGACTGCGATGGGATAAAATAAATACGGAATGTTTTTTACATTTAAAAAAAATTGTTTTTCAGGTTCTGCATCACCCTGTCTTCCCTCATGCTCTTGACCCAGAGGGTCACATCCCTCTCTCTGGACATTCGTGAGGGGAAAGTGGAGGCAGCATCAGGAGGCGTCGGGAGCAGGAGCTCTTTGTCTGAGCATCTGTGTAGGGCGCTGCCCTATTTCAGCTACCTGCTCTTCTTTCCTGCTCTCCTAGGAGGTCCTCTGTGTTCCTTCCAGAGATTTCAGGCTCGTGTTCAAGGGTCCAGCTCTTTGTGTCCCAGGCACTCTTTCTGGGCTCTCACCTGGAGGGGCCTGCAGATTCTGGGACTAGAGTGCCTAACGGTGGTCATGAGCAGGGTGGTGAGCACAGGAGCAGGACTAGCCAACTGCCATCAGCTCCAGTGCATCTACGTCATGTGGTCCACAGCTGGGCTCTTCAAACTCACTTACTACTCCCACTGGCTCCTGGACGACTCCCTCCTCTGTGCAGCGGGCTTTGCATCTGAGTTTGGTGATAGCCCTGGAGAGGAGGGATACATCCCTGATGCGGACATTTGGACACTGGAAACAACCCACAGGATATCCTTGTTTGCGAGAACGTGGAACCAAAGCACAGCCCGGTGGCTCAGACGCCTCATATTCCAGCAAGGCAGGGCCTGGCCGCTGTTGCAGACATTTGCCTTCTCTGCCTGGTGGCATGGCCTCCATCCAGGACAGGTGTTTGGCTTCCTTTGCTGGGCTCTGATGGTGGAAGCTGACTACGTGATTCACACCTTTGCCAATTTGTTTATTAGATCCTGGCCGATGCGTCTGCTCTACAGAGCGCTCACCTGGGCTCACACTCAACTCATCATTGCCTATATAATGCTGGCTGTAGAGGTCAGGAGTCTCTCCTCTCTCTGGTTGCTGTGTAATTCTTACAACAGTGTCTTTCCCTTGGTGTACTGTATTCTGCTTTTTCTACTAGCAAAGAGAAAGCATAAAGTAAACTGATATCTTTCTCCAGCCTTCATCTTATACATCCGTGAAACAGAATTTAGAAAGTGCTAGACGGTGTGATGATGCAAATATTTGAACTTTTCCTTAACAAAAAAAAATTTTTTTTATTGGATGAATATACCAGATGTCTTGCTATAGAAATTTAGGTATCTACTTTAAAAAGTTATTATACTGGCACTGAGGGTCCAGAAAAGAAAAAGACATGGTTTTTTCCCTTAGGGTTTACAGTTTTGGTGTGGAAGCAAAGTTAGAGTAAAACGATACATAAAAACGTAAGGCACTGTGAACACACGAACATCCAAAAATCGAGTGTCCGATTGGTCTGCTTGATCCTGGAATGTGAGTTTAACAAGACAACAAAACAATCCCTAAATCTTATTAAATTGGTTTGTTACATGAACTAGAGTTCTTGTTCTGGCCCATTTCTTGGCCCAAGCAGGTTAGTATTTTGACAGATCATGCTTATCTTCTACAAATGCAGGAAAGGGTCAGCAGCATCTGCCTGATAGGCAGGAGCCTTGGACAAGTGAATGAGATTCTGCAGGTCAGGGAAGTACTAGAGCCAAGTAACCCATGGAAACAGCCCCCGGTGGACATCTACCGCTGGAACCCTGGCCTGTCACCTTTTATCAGTCTAATCACTCTGAAGGAACCCGTATAGCCCTTCAGCAGACTCAACCAGTTGTTTGAAAGTATTGCGTGAGTTTCTGGTGATTAAGAAGTCCCTGAAAATAGGATAAGTCATGATAACTGAAAAGCTGACTGCTGGCAAAGCCACAAAATTTGCCTTCCCAAGATCAAGGAACTGTGGATGCCATTTGGGCACTGAAGTGGCATTCCCTGGTAAACGCCCCGTGAAAACTTCAGGTCATCTCTTGACCTATTGCTTTGGAGAAGCCGCGCTCACCGGGCAGCCCTGTCCCCCTGGTGCACAGGTAGCTCCTTGCCTGAGCTGGCCCCTCTGTTAACAGCTGCCACAGCCATGGCTCTAAACAGGTACCGCAGGTTTAGCAATCCACTTCTCTAAAGGAGACAATCTGATTGTGTGTGTGTGTTTCTAACCATGTAGTTTTCATAAAGCAGACACTGGGAGAGTTCACTGATAACACATCCAACCTGTTGACTCACCAATCCTTGTTCACTCCCACGAGAACATGGAAAAGGAGGCTCAGATGGAGAGTTTTAAGGAGTTTCTCCTGGCGGGTATCAGGTCTTTCCAACTAGGAAGGTGACAAGAAAGCCAACTTCTACATCTGCCCAAAGGATGCTGCTCAGCCCACATGCCTCTGACCTCCTGGGAGCAATGAACTGCTTCTCTGTTCACCTGAGAGGCCCTGGCAAACAGCCTGCCAAGCCTGGGTAAAGGGCACGGGATCTAACAATGAGGACAAGACTGGTGGGGAAGCAGGTTCTGTGGGTGTGAAAGAACAGACTAGGGGCACTTGGAGAGGCCAACAGATTCTGGGCATTGCCATGACCAATTGCTATAAAAGAATAAATGGCAATCATTCGTAATTATCCTGATTGAAATGCGGAGTACAAGACTGCAGATTCGAGTCACTTCCAACACTCGTCTTTATGTTTTTAACATAGCAGATGGTGTGAAAACTTGGTTCTCTATCATTTCGGGGTTTGGTATTAAGAGGTGAAGGGGTAGTGATTATATCCTATGCGCTTATTTCTCAACTGCACCCATTTCCAAAGCTTTTCAAAAGAAGTGGTCTAATACGATGGATATTACTACGTTAGTATTTGATTCCTAATCACTGTTGACTCTGGAGTCAGCAAGGCTGCCCTGTGGTGAAGTGGCCAGGGCACTGATCCCAGAGGCGGAGGGTCTGCTGTAGTCGCCAGCTAGCGCTGCCCAGCAGTGTGACCCCAGCTACTGCCGCTGCAGGCCCAAGCATGCCACTGTGCCCAAGCAAGCGGTGGGGAACAGAGCCTCTAAACCGGAAGCCAGCATGCCTGTGTCAAGTGCTTTGTCCATTGTTCAACACAGGAAAAAGTAAAGCATCCTCCTCCCAATCTGCATCCATTTATCCGGGAAGAAATAAATCTGCTTCAGTGCTGAAGGTCCTTTATAAAGACCTGGTATATTCTAATTCTTAACACTTATTTCCCACCATATAGAAAGAACAAAGGGGTATTTTTATGGCTCATTAAAAAAATGAAACATATTTCTCTAGCACTAATAAAACACCTTTTACTCTTTCTTTCATGAATAATAGTTTTAATTTCTCAGTCTGTACTTGGCAGCTAATAGTTGTTGAATAATAATAATATTAATCTGCTCTGGGCCTTATGTCTTGGAACAAAAGACTAGAGATGCCAGATTATTTCTAAGGAAGTATCTTTGTCTCACTTGGTTTTTGCTGCATCTAATTTTTAGAAACACCTGTTGAGTTACAACAGTTTAGAGTTATACATTTCTGTATTTTTTTCCTTGTAGGGAATTTGTGCACTTCGTAGAACACAAGTGTCATCTTGGTTTAGTTGGACGGCCACCCTGAGTATTCAAGGTGACTTAGTGACTTAAATGAATCAAGTGACTTAGATGAATCCACTAGTGTGGACATATGGGTGGTGTTTTCTGGCACCCTCAACTTACTAATGGGGTATTTTCTTCAACTTTGCTTTTAAATTGTTTGGAACTTAAACTGTGTTTTCCTAGAAAAAGAACATTATGCTGATTCCTACTGGGTGACACTCACTGTAATGATCTGAATTTGAGGTCATGTTTAGGGTCGGAAGAAAGAGCAAAGATAATTCCCTCCTCATTTCTTAAATTATACCTGAACCTAAACACATTTTGTTTTTGTAATTTTCCCCATTTATATAGCTATGTAAACGTGTGGATTTTGTTTAGATCTTGAGTCAAATGAGCCAACCATAAAAGGACATTTATAGGGGAATTTGAACACTAACAGGGTATTATTGCACATTTTAAATTTTTTCCAGGTGTAATAATACTGTATTTGGTTAAAAGGGTCAGTTTAGACATACTGCAGATGAACTGTCTTCGATTTGCACCGAAGCAGGCTGAGGATGGCAAGTAGGGGATGCACAGGTAGGACACACGATGAAAATTGTTAAAGCTGAACGATGGGATATGGGAGTTCAATATATCCTGCTTTTGTGGAGGTTTTGAAAATTTATGCGAAAACAAGTGTGCGAAAGTCTACTGGGTACATCTGGCAGGGTGAAGCCAAATTAAGGAATTTCCCTTCCCCAGTATCTTATGAAAAGAATAAAAACTGTAAAAATCACTGTGATAACGATCCCTAAGATAACCCCCAATGATCCCTCGTCTTTTCCAGGTTTTCACATTCTCCCACATTCAGGCAAGGTGGGTTTGTATGATGAATAATTACACAGCAGAGGTGATGGTGTAACACCTTTATGATTTGTTTACAGAAGACAATACAGTTTTACCGGCTAATCTCAGCAACTTCACCTTCTGGCATTTTCTTTACTGCAGTCCAGCTATAAACCTCTGACCTAGTTTCTGTCTCCCTAAGATAGTTAAGTTTCTGAGCTTCTGAAATTGCCATTTCCTTCACCTAGAATGTTTGTGCTCAGATCTACGTATGGCTGCTCCTTCACATCACTCCTGTCTCCGCTCACATGACACCTTCCCAGGGAGAACCACTCCGTCCAAATTAAACACCCTCTGCACCTAATCGTTCTCTTCTCCTCACCCTGCTTTGTTTGCTTCATAATACTTTTTACAAATTGAAATTACATTGTTTATTTGAAGTTAAGTCAATTAAAGGTCTGGACAGAGTTTCCTAAACAGGAACAAGCCATGGAAACCATGCAAACATACTTTGTGCTGAGAGGCAATATGCTAGTAAGAGATCAGAAAACACTAAATATTTAGGGACATAGTAAAAGGAGTATAAGACCTGTACAGTAAAAACTGTAAGACATTTGCTGAGAAAAATTAAAAATCAAAATTGAGATGTACTCAGTTAAAACACTCTATTTACTAAAGATGGACACCACAATATATTCCTTTCCATATGCTTTTTAACAAAATAATATCGACACATTGAGTGATCTATGGCTGTTTCCCTTTAACCTGGGTGCGGGGTGAACTTTTTGACTAGCTTGACCAATAGATTATGGCAGAAGTGATACTATGTGACTTCCAATGTACATATGTTACAAAACTGCCACATGCTTATGGTTAGTTTTCTTGGGACATTTGCTCTTAAGAGTCCAGTCATCTGTGGTGAGGAAGCCAAATTTCCACGGACAGTCAGAGGGTCACAGAGAAAGAGGAGCAGAGGCCCCTGCCCTCATCCTGGCCGGGCTCCCAGTCCACAGCCAATACCGGTCTGTCAGCCATGTAAGTAACCCATCTTGGGAGATGACCCCTCGGTCCCCAGTGGCGCCACCTCAGCAGATACCACGTGGAGCAGAAATGACCCTTCCCTGTAAAGCCCTGCCCCAATTGGAGATTTGTGAGTTGAATAAATGATCATTGGTTTAAGCCAATAGGTTTGGGTGTTTTGTCATGCAGCAATGGACAAATGGTTAAGATTTCAATTCTCTTCCAAATTGATCTACAGATTCAATGCAGTCCCAATCAAAATCCCATAGGCTTTTTAAAAATAGAAGGTGACAAGCTAATTCTAAAGTTTATATAAATGTACCAAGAACTTTGCATATACAATCTTGCAAAAAATAAAAGTAAAAAAAGAGTAGGAAGGTTTACTATAAAGCTACAGTAGATTTACACTTATATGGTCCATTAATATTCTATAAAAGTGCCAAAGTATTTGAAAGGGGAAAGGACAGTCTTCACAATAAACAGTGACAAAGTGAATATTCACACAGGGAGAAAAAAATGAACCTCAACTCTTATTTCATACCACCTGCAAACATAACTTGAAGTGAATCATAGGCCTTAATATATTAAGAGGTAAGACTATAAAACTTGTAGAAGGAAATAAAAGTCTTCATGACCTAAGATGTAGTCAAGAAGTGCTTAAAACTCAGAAAAAGCAGGAACTATTTTTAAAAGACAAAACTGGTAACTGATTTATCAAAATAAAAAAAAACAAAATGCTGTTTGAAAGACATTACAAAAGCAAAACACAAACCTCAGAATGGGGGTAAACTAATACACATATCCAACACAGGACTTTACAACCCAGTAGTAAGAGCCCATACAATAAAAAGGTGCAAAAAATTTGAACATGTACTTCACAAAAGAACACATTGAACTTAGCTATTATAAATATTCACGTACAAGCTTTTGTGTAGGCATTTTCAATTCTCTTGGGTATATATCTAGGACTGGAATTGCTGGGTCATATGGTAACTATGTTTAACCTTTTGAGGAACGGCAAAACGTGTTCCCCAACACCTGCACCATTTTAAATCCCCACTGGCAATGCAAGAAGGTTCCAATTTTTCTGCATCCTCACCAACTAATTATGTCTTTTTTATTCTAAGCATTGCAGGGGGTGTGAAGTAGTATGTCATCATGCTTGGCATTTGGATTTCCTAATGACTAATAATGTTGATCATCTTTTCACAGGCTTACTGGCATTTGTATCTGCTTTGGAGAAATGGCTCTTTGGATGCTTTGCCCATTTCTTAATTGGGTTGTTTTTCCACTGTTATGAGTCATTTATACATTTTGGATACTTAATCCTTATCAGATATATAACTTGCAAATATTTTCTATTCTGTAGGTTGTCTTTTCACTTTCTTGATAGTGTTGTTTGAAGCAAAAAGGTTTACATGTCTGATGAAGCACAATATAGGAAACCATTGCCGATCCAAGGTCATGAAGATTTACACTTAGATAAATCTCAGATTTTCATAGTTTAACTCTTACAATTGTAGGTCCATGATCCATTTTGAGTTAATTTTTGAATATCATGTGCGGTAAGGGTCCAATTTCATTCTCTCGCATGTGGATATCCAGTTGTCTCGGCAACATTTGTTGAAAACTCTTCTTTCCCCATTGAATTGTCTTGGCACCTAAAGTTGATTATTTTAAAAAGGTAAGAACAACAACAAAATCACTGGAATGCATGGGGGGGGGGGGTGCAAAAGTTAAGGGGATCTCCACTAGGAGCGCCCGCATCCCTGTAGCCCAGAGGTCAGGGAACTACTGCCCAGGTCACAAACCTCCTGCATCTGGTTAAAAGCTGTGGGATGCAAATCTTGTCAGCCCCGGGAAAACCTCACATCTGCCAAAGCCTGTGCGCTACCGCTGGCAGACGATGAACATCTTTGGCTTTAATTCAGGTTTCCAACTAGCAAATGCTAGTTCTTTTTGAGTTCAGCTTCAGTTACCTGGAATATTTATTTTACAGGATATGTTCTGTCCCCTCAGAATGACAGAAAATTAGGAAGCTTGCAATAGAATAAGAGCTTCCTAACCTTCCCCAGGAGAAAGGACAATACAGGTTTATATGGAAGATGTATGAATTTGCATTTCCCTCCAATTTTACATATCATAAAACATCCTCAATTTTAAAACATACATATTACTTAACAGTAATGCTGCATGGTTGCTTTTTATATTTGTTGTGTTGGTTGAAAGTTATCTGAAACTTATGAAATCTAGTCACATTTTATATAAATATTCTGGAGTTACACTAGAAATCTGGATTATTCTGACAATGTCCCCAAAATCATACTAGACACTAAGAACCAATAATCTGAACTTTATAAAGTACATAATGAGACTGTAATTCAGGTAATTTGGGGCAAGATTTATGTTTGATAAAAGAGAATAGTACTTTTCTCTGTCCACACTGAATCACACAGGTTAATTTTTTATTTTTAACTGTTTGAAATGTTTGCAAAAAACAAAATACTCTAATAATAAATGGTGATAAAGATACTAAAACATGGCAGTCATAAAAAGTTCTGAAAATTTAAGAACAAGTACAACCTTTACTTTAGATGATCAGTAATCTTTTTATGTCAACAAAACCTTTTATAGCTATTTTTGTAAAAGGCTGGGTAAAGATTCTACTTTCCCAGATTACCAATCTTTTTATTATAGCTTAAAATCGCAGGCCTTCATTGTAATACTTATTACTATGGTTTTATTTTTATTTTGGAAGTGAAACTTCTGCAAGTCTATCATTATAACTAATGTCATATTTGTTTTATATCACATGACTATGAAGGATAATGTACTTCAGAAACTGAAGTGTGTAGTACATTTTCATTTCAGAAACACCCACAAACTAAAAATAGATATTTAAAATCTTTATTGTTTCATCACCAAAAGTTCTGTTTCCATAGAAGAATGGCAATGAAATATCAGTGCATAGTCTATGGAAAATTCATACCTCAAGTAAATAGCCTAGAAATTAAAGACAGCACTATGTCAAGCCAGTGTGCAAGATCAAAAACACAATGCTGCCAATGCAATTAGTATACAGAAAGACTATGCAGCTGTTAGAAAAAGAGTCTATGGCCACGTGACTAAAACAGTTGCAGTGCCCTGCACTGACATTCTACAAAAGAAAATGAGGAAGGACCAGAAAATATACTTCCTGCCAAAAAAAAATCAGGTTGATCACGGGCACTGACTGAGCTCCCGACTTTTACCAGCTCACTCGTGTGATCCTGTACCCTCCTCATCAAGTCTACAGCATCGTAACACTGCAGCCATTTTCAGTCTAATGTGTAAATGGGACAATCACATGCAGATACTTCATTCTGCCTTCCATCCCGCAGCTAAAAGTAACAACTTGGGTTCCGCTATAAAACCTGTGGCCTTTAGGCATCTTCAGTAAAAATATGAACAAGCCCAAAATTTCTTCCCATTTTCTTGAGAAATAAACTTTATAAAATAACTAAAGATAGCTGTCATGACGCCTCAGTTTCGCCTGGACCCAAAACAATTTTTTATGTGAGTATACTGAATAAACATACAAACATATGTCCTCAACAAAATACTGTCAGGTCAATTTGAACATTTTTATAACTAGCTCCTGATAAAAGTACTGATAATTGTGAACTGCAAATAACCCCTACAATTTTGATCATGCCTGGCTGTTGGGAATTTTGGGGTCAGGTTTGTGCCTGAAGCTGCTGTACAGCTGGATTTGGCTACTTTGCATTAATTCACGCAGTAAATGCCATTTAAAAGGAAACAGCAGCTCTATCATGATGAAATATAAATGAAAACAACTGCGAGGTATACAGGAAACTTATCTTAAATAGTTTTAAATAACAAATGATACAACCTTAGAGAATAAGAACTGCAACTACCACGGCCTAAGTCTTAAACTGTCAACGCATGAATCGCCTGCAAGACGTAACAAGTCACCTGCTCACCGTGTCAGGGCCTCGCGGGGCAGGGGCGCTCTCAACGCCTGGCATAGCAATTTCTTTCCAGGCGAGTTAAACACCTTTCATTTAAAGTGTTAGTAAACTATACTGGAAAGTTATTTTACTTAACATGGACACTGTATAAAATAAGTTAAAAGGAGGGAGCAAGGAAAGGGTTTCTGGTATATGTGATGCAAACATACAACTTTCCCTTATCAGTAGTAGTTCCATGAATGACCATTTTACCCATGGTAGAACATGAAAGGCGGATAGAGGAGCAACAATTTCCCTTATCAATAGAAACAGGATTCAAAAAATGAAATTTCAACATTATTTTCTCCCACAATGCAACTCTTTAACCATCTGCAGCTCTTTATCACAAATGTAAATTAAAACCATATTTCAAAAATCTGTTTTTACACCCTTACCTAAAAGTTTAACAAAACATTCTTCGAACAATTGAAAAGAAAAGCACTCCTTTGTAGCAATTCCACAAAATAATTTTCAGTTCACAAAACATCTGGTTACTGGCAAAGCCAGCAACCCTTAAGGAGGGTTTGCGCATTAATAAATACTTGGCCCTTCTGAGGTATGAATGCAGCTATATGTGCACTGAGTACATAGTCTATAAGCTATGTCTGCATAAAATTGGGAGTGATGTCATCCTGACTAATTGAAAACTTACTTTTATAACTTTTTGTAATAATGAAGGTTAAATAATTTTAAGAGAAAAGATATACTTTAGCCCAGGAATAGCCAGAAGAAATCTAATTCCTAACCAATGTGAACAGCTATTACATTTAAAAAATGTTTAACATTGCATATTGATTTAAAAAAAAAAAAGTGAACAAGGAAAACACATAAATATTTAAATTCAGCAGGACACCACAGAAAGCATACTATAGGTAAGTGTGAAATCAGTCAAACTTTTCCAAAAGAGAAAATCCTTTAATCCTTTAGCAAGTCTCTGTGAAAATAGTATGCTTACAATAAAAGTGAGACGGGAGCGCCTAGAACACCCCCAAGAGGCCTGCTACGCCACTCATCACTGCCGCCCCATCTCCTGTGTGCACGGATGGCCAACAAACGACGAGAAGTCCATCTGACAATAGTTCAGTAATTTCTTTCACCACTGCTGCCAGCTGAAGTCGTCATTGCTTCCAAAGACCAAGAAAAAGCCCAGTATAGTTGCAAAGATGACTGTGTTTCCTGTGAGAACAAGTGCACAAGCTCCCCACTCAATCTATGGAAACAAGATAGAAATATTCAGTTAATCGACCTAGGAAAACTGAGAGCAAATGAACAGCAAATCAAGGCTCTAGTTGTTTGCCACTCATAATCTAAAAGAAATAAGATCTGTAATAGTAACTTTCACACTATTGAACACTTAATGGTACTTCTACATTGCTGTTTGTATTTATCTCTGGCTCCTTTAAAAAGGCAAAGTCATGGAAAGATGATTAACTATTCAAAGGCAAGTTTGACTTCGGGGCTATGAGGAGGCAGCATAGAATTCTGCAATTTTCTGTGTATAAAGAAATTTGCTCCAACTCTTCTTTAGTGAATCTAAAATTTTACCTAGAGAGCAAATTAAATTTAAAGTATCAGAGGTGAAAACACACTGATGTACATTCTTTTACAGGGGCAAGAGGAGTGAGCACCCTCTCCACAGGGAAGGGAGGCCAGTCCCTTCTCTACCTCCCCACAGACGAAGAGGGAATCTGGCTGGGGCGTTTGGGAGGAAGAACCAAGTACATGCAACCCAGCCTTCTCTTTTGTACTTTCCTTCCTGCAAAGAGTACACGGCCTCCTTGGCCCTTCATGTTTCGAGCTGTACAGGGCTGGCCCGTGGTTGTCCAGCACCGGGCTGATAAGATGTCACGCCCAATTCTAACAGCAAATTAGAATTTTTGCTCCCTGCATCCTCACCAATTCTAAGAGCAAAGTATTGGTGAGTCAACGGTGCGGCAGACCTGAGCCATGCTCTCCAATATCAGTTTTCACTAGTTAACAATAATGAAAGTTAAGTTTTTTTGGTATCTCTATCCTCGAGGCTCCCATATCTCTTATGTCTTTTTTATGTCATTTTAACAAAAACTTTTTTCTGAGAAAACCTTTACACTACATTAGTGAAGAATGTACTCACTTACCAGGTGCGCTCTGGCAAATACAATAGGGAGTCCAAAAGCTGAGACAACAATGCCTGTTGTAAGAAATATGGCAAGTTCCTTACAAGCATTACTCATAGCATCTGTATCATCCACTAATCTTCTTGCTATGCAGTATGGAATAGGTGAAAGGACGTAAAAAAACAGAACAAACAGGGGCCAGTATTGGCTAGAAAGAGAAAAATAAGTTAATGTATTTTTTGTTGTGTCATTTCCCTACACATAAAATAGGCTTTTAAACAGTAAGGATCACAGGAATATTGCAATGAACTGAAAATGACTAGCTTAAAAATGAGCTGTAACCTGAACACTAACATGAGGAACATTTAGAATCACAGTATTCCTAATGTCAATTATGACACAATTAGTAAAATATTTCTTATATTAAAAGAAAATGCTTTATAAATTATAACAGTTGGAACCAAGGCCCTAAACTTAAAATATTTTTCATTTTAGGTTATAAATAAAGAGGCATACAAAAAATGGAGATGTTATCCCAGTGGTTTTTAAAATTCAAAATTCATGCCCTTAACTTCGATGATATCTTGCCTTAGCATAAAGCTGGAACACCTCCAAGCTTTTCTTGGGTCACTAGGAACTCCCAAAATACTGAAATCAAAATAGGGAAAATGAACTGAAAGGAATATTGAAAAGTTTTAGCCAGAATATAGAATTTATTACAATAAAAACAGATGGCTTTTAGTTTATAGTCTAGCTATTGTAATGTCATTTCCTGGTTATGCTAATGTAACTATAGTTAATATAAGACAGTACCACTGAGGGAAACGGGAGAGGACAGGGGACTGCTCTGTACTGTTTCTGCAAATTCTTTAGAGTTCATAATCACTTCGAAATAATAATAAAAAATAGATCGCTTTTCAAATTGTCATAAATAAAATATACATCAGAGTGGAGACTTTCTTATACTTACAGGCTTTTAACAAGCAAAGATTTCTCTATGTTTTTACTAAAAATCTTTCTATATTGAGAATAAAAAAAATTACAAATGAACATATGCTTAAGAAAAAAAATTCAAACAACACAAAAGCACAAAAAGTAAAAACTCAAAGTTGCCCACATCTCCCCTTTTTTTCTTTCTGACTCTCCTACTGAGCTTCTTGCAGCTCCTTCCATACAGGTAAACTTTGAAGATATAAATGAATCACTGCTCTTTTTCATTTAACAGTATAGTTTGAACTTTACGTATTAGCAATTACAGCTCTTCCTCATTCTTTTTAAGACTGCCTCATGTTTCCATGGATGGATGTGCCATACTTTAACCATTTTTCTTTTGACAGACCTTTAGGATGCTTCCTGCTTTTTCTGTTCTTATAAACAAGGTTGCCATGAACATCCATACTCTCCCCCAACTACACATCTCTGCAAACACCTGCAAGTAGATTTGTGTGCGAAATTCTAAGTGGAAGGGTAAATTCAAAGAATATACATTTTGAGAGCTGCAAGCAAACTGGCCTCCGAATTGACTACTCTTACGTGTTTATCCTTCCACTCCTAGTACATGGCACTGCCTGTTTGCCTGTATCTTTTTCATTTTTGCCAATGAATTTCATTTAATTTTCAGGGAGGCCGAGCATATTTTCATGGGCATATAAGCAATTTGCAGCTCCTTTACCTATTTGTTGAAAATATACTTCCATCTTCCTTGATTCATTTTTCTGTTGAGTTGTCTATATTTTCCTTCCTGATTCACCCTATTAATTTTAAAATTTCTTGCTACCCTAAGGAAAGCAACTTCTTATATAATTTCTTTCCTTAGTTAACCTCTCTGGACTCTGCTTATGGTATTTTTTGCTGAAAAGACATTTTTAATTTTCTTGTATTTAATTTTATCAGTAGGTACTCAACAGTGAGCAGTAGGGCTGGGCTACTGTGTGGCTCTCTCACGGTAACAGGTTAAGCACTAGTCTAGGAGCAATGACCAAAAGTCCTTTTTGCATCTTGGTGTCCCAACATATTTACAAATTTTAAGTGAAGACTTTTTCAAAAAGGGTTGACCTTGGTAAATAAACATTTCTCAGGATTGCTTTTACAGTCATAAAAAATTTTTTTTAAACTTTGAAAGTAGAAAAATTTTATCCTATTTACTCAAAAAGACAAAAATTTTACATACTTGTATATTGGAAGGGCACATCCAAGCATCAAAAACATCAGCCCAATTGCTCCTCCAAAGGACAAACTAATCAAAGCTGCAAAGTAAATAAAAAATCAAGTAGAGATATGAAACTAAAATATTATTATTATTAGCAGTCTGAACATTACTTATAATCCCAGAAACAAAAAGCAAAACAATACACACACCAAAAAAATGTATCAAAAGTGAGTTATCTTTCAAAGTCTAAGTTACCTAGTCTCAGAATAAGTCTTCCGTAGCATCTTCAAGGGAAAAGGAAGCAATACTGATTTTCAAAGCCCTGACCTATTACAAACATACCACCAAATTCCCTAATTCGTGGTTACGTATCTAATGAGTGTCTCAATCTGCAAGATCAATGCTCCTCCAGACATTTACTGAGTATTGCATTTACTCCACAGACCATTACAGTTCTGAAAAGCAGTATACGGAGAAACTCTGCACTGTCAGCTTTACTGGACTTTAGAAGCCCCATCCTTTGGGAAAAATCTCTCGGCTCAGCGTTTGCTGCTGCTGCTTCTTTTTTTAGATTTTATTTATTTACTTTTAAAGAGAGGGGAGTGGGGGGAGAGAGAGAGGGAGGGAGAGAAACCTTTATGGGCAAGAGATATATCCATCAGTTGCCTCTCACACGCCCCCTACTGGGGACCTGGCCTGCAACTCAGGCATGTGCCCTGACTGGGAATCCAACCTTTTGGTTCATAGGTGGGCACCCAATCCACTGAGCCACACCAGCCAGGGCAGCTTTTGCTTCTTGCACATATGTATACCCGCAATATGCACAAAACTGATAAAGAGAAAAGTGTCCAAGGATATCTGTTAATAACTTTAATTAATTAATTTTGCCACAGATCTTTAAATAGTTGGGAAAGCTAGCTGGGTTCCTCCCCTAATATTCCATACATCAGAAAATGTGCAGGACATGGGTACATCCTTCTGTGGTATCACTATTATAAGACATTATCACAGGCAACAGATGTGTTCTACAGGTGAAATATAGTTTCTCAATCTACACAAATACAAAGCATTATATTTTACAAAGTATTTTTACATGTATCAGTGAATAGAAACAATTTTCTTGAATAGGCATAGTTAATCCATGGCCTAGAATTAAACAAAAAAAAAACAACCAACAAAAAATGATCAATTTATTTCAAATTCTGTATAACCCACAATTCTGCAACTGTGTGCCTAAGAGAATAACGTGTCTTTTTTTTTTTTAATTGATGTAGTTAAAACTCCAAAGATTTGTAGAAGGTCTAAAAGTTACCAAGACATATGCATACACATAACACATATAAGCCAAAATTTAACCATAAAGGGGTTAAATGCTGCCAAGTACTACTGATATACTTCTCTGAATTAAATTGGGCATAATCAAAGAAACCCACTGACATGGTAGCTTGGCAGATTTAGTTTTCAGTTAGATCACTGATGTAGGTCATATCAACCCTGAACTCTTAGTCGTCAATGCCATAATATTTTCAGTTACAGAAATGAAAGAGAAAGAAAAATTCGTACTTTTATTTCACAGCAACTAAGGAAGTTTACAAGGGAATGCAATGCAAGTGCTTAGGAAAATACTGAGTGTACCATGTGTTTTGGTCAGTTCAAAAGAGGTCCTCAAACTCTGCCCTGTTTGCTTCCCCTGACACCTATCAATCACAGCAGGCTACTCACTCTTGTCCTCTGCACTCCAGTTACACTGGCCTTCTCTCCTTTTCTGGACATCAGCAGGTTCCCCCGCCCATGTGGTCGCTGCACAGGTCGTCTCTCCTACTTTAGACTCCTTCATTCATTTCATTCAAAAAGTATTTACAGAGCACCAAATATGTAACAGGTGCTGGGGATATGCTAACAAACGAGGTAAGGCCCTTTCACACTTGCGGAGCTTGCCTTGTCCTACTCCCTTCCTCTTTCCTCCAAGTTAATTTCTCCTGTTCCTTCAGGTCTCAGCTCAGTCACTTCTTCCTCAGTAATGTTTTTGCAAACCTCCTAAGAAAACCAACTGTCCCTATTATAGTCATTCATTCATTCAGCAAATATCTACTGAGCACCTAATGTGGGTCACACACCGTTCTTGAGTCTGAAAACAGAGCAATGAAAAAAAAATCACAGCTCTTACTCTCAGGAAGCTTATATTCTAGTAGGAGAATAAAATGATTTTTTAAAGAGTTAGCAAATAAATGTCAAATGCTATAAAAAAAAAATCAGGCAGGGTTGGGGGAGGGAGTGCTATTCTAGACACATTAGCCTGGGAAGGCATCTCTGATGAGGTGACATCTGAGCAGAGATCTATACGAAATGAGAAACTGGACCATGTGGGTACCCTGGGGAGCATTCCAGGAAGAGGGATATGCAGAGCGGCTCTCCTTACGTGGTTCACCTCCCCTCTGTTCAGTTACCACAGCTGTAATTTACATTGATTCGTATTTGTCTTTCCTTTTAAACTGTTCATTCCACAAGGGAAGTTTTTCTGTTGTTGATGCGCATGCCCACCTCTTAACACTCAATATTAAATCTCTGTAGAATTAATGAAAGGAACCAAAGGGGAAGGGGAAGAAGGGAAGAGGAGGGGAAGGAGAGGGGGTGAGAGGGAGCCTGATGTAGCAGAGAAGATACAACGCTTAACTGAAAGTCAGGAGCCGCTGGGTCCTATCTCCTACCAGCCTCCTACTAGCTGTCTAAATAACTATGAGTGTCAGTTCTTTCTTCTATGAGTTGGACTAGAACTGAAGTGCAAATAATTCTCTGAACACTAAAGATACTTGTTATAAGATGTGCTAAAGAACTAAAAAAACCATCTCTACTTTTTTAATGTAGTTGCCGAACAGCTAAGTTCACCACTATAGATACTACACAGTAACATCTTATTTATTCAGAAGCCATTTTTTCCAGAATATAGCTTAGAATCCTCGAGGAAACAAAGATCATTAAAGAAACAAAGTATATGTCACAAAGCTCACACACTAAAGCTCACATTCTTTATACACAGACCAATACAATTATTGTGTGAATTTTGGCATGACCAAATTTTTTTATTTTAAAGAATCATCTATGCTCATTTATAAATGCTTTCAATAGAAAATCATGTACCCAAAACAAAATTAAGTAAAAAGCAACTTTCCCTCCCAGAAAAGATCAGTTACTTGTATCTTGTGACATAAAATTTTCTAAGTTTGATGATCTTGTTCCCCACATTGAAACAAATGAAAAAGAGGAGATGAATTGCATATAACCAAGATATGCCCTCTGAGGAAGGGTGGAGACTGAAAATAATTTTAAATCAGGCAGAAAATTTCTCAAAAAGTGTTATCAGTTCTTGGTAATCTTGGGCAAGAGGCAAGTAGCACTGTTCTGTGACAGAGAACAATTGTTACGTTCTTATCATCAAAAAAGAAAAGTCTACATTCTTTGAGTATACTCTTAAAAAGTTAAAGAAAGACAATTCCTTAAAAAAAATAAGGAACTAAAATGAGATAAGATTGAGGTATCAAAAATAATTTTGTGACATCTCACTCGCCAGTCATATGGCATCAAAGCCAAAGGGGTTAAGTAAATTGCTCAAAAGTGCTTTCCCAAATCTTGTAAAGTTTCTCCAGTCTTATGAAATCAGCAACTACGTTGATTTATATACAAATTTCATCATTTGTGTATAAATGTCTGTCCTAGATGACACATCAGCAAGACGAGAATTTATACTGTAATTGAGTGATGCAACATTTGGAAACGAAACTTAGATGAGTCCGGTTTCTCTTCCCAAAGCCTCTACCCTAGGGACAGAGCAGCCCAATTATCTAAACTCTCCAGAGACAGGGAGCTGGTTCTGTGATTACAAAGAAATTACAGTAGGAGAGGGGATCAGTTCCCTAACTTAGGCATTACCAGAAAAACCCAATATATAGCAAAGCAATAGGCAAGTGTCTCAAGAAATAAGTAATGAACTCCAATTATAGTAACACTCCTTAATATAAATAGGCCAACAGGAAGAAAATATCCTGGTAAACAATCATAATCATAACATCAGAAAATTTTACTGAAACCGAAATCGTTAAGTATAATTCCATCTGGGACACTTTCACCCAGTAAATATTAACCTAGGTTTACAGGAAGAAATTACAGTTATTTTAAGAAAGAGACTCCTGCATTTAATGACACTGAAAAACGGGAAGCTGGCAACATCTTGAAAACCACCGCATTCTACCATAACTGCCTTTCACACAAGGACTTAAAAAAGGTCTATTCTGATTGAAAAGGAGGTTATAAAGTGTTTCAGCCGCACAGATGACCACGCTTTACATGGGAAACAAAATGTTTTCAGAAATTAAAAATAAACACAAAACAGTAAAAAAAAAAAATAATACGTGAGTGTGGGAATGAAGCTCAAAAGTTGTCCATAGAGGCAATAAAATACACAGGAAAAACAGTGCTATCAGAGCTCTTCACTTCCTGCGTCGCTGCCCCTTTTGCAAAGCCGCAGGTCAGGAAATCACTGAAGTTTGTTGTCAAATTGAAAACGCTATCAATGGTATCTGCTTCTAATCACACTAACAGAACTACCCGTTGAAAAGGATGCAACATTCCTGTTCCTAAAAAGAATACACGCTCAAACGACTAACTGTTCATTAGGTTTTAACACTATTTTTTCTTTAAAAAACTCAACTAAATGAAAACTTTGAAATGTGAAAAAGCCTCAACGTAAAGGGTGGAGAGGGCAGAAAACAACTCTACAGTCGCTTACACGGGACAAACACCACAAATCAAAATGCATCAGTTTCAGGAGCGCGGAAAGCTTCGAGCAAGGCTCCTGAGAGTGAACGTGACGGCCAAGGTTTCGGAAAGAAACATCCTTAACCCTTCCAGGGCTAATCCTTCTTGAGCAGCTCAGTTCGGCTCAGCACCCGAAGATCGCACTTGTGCTTTTAAGTGGGAAATGACACTGATTTTCCGTAACCGGCATCTTTAGTGGTCTCAACCCCCTCAAACCCACACTCTGCCCCCCTCTATGTCGGATGCAAACTCCTGCAAAACGAGTTGCTGCGGGACTTTTAACAGACTAAGGAGCACTTCATTCTCTGCACGGGGGGCGATGGGTGGGGAGAGGGAGGCTGCCGAGATCAGACGAAAGTGGAGGCTGACGCAAAAGCTGCGGTCCCCACGGTCTCTTCAGAGAGGGTGCCGCGCCCACCTCGGCTCTGAGCGCGGAGGCGGGGGTCAGGGGTCGGCCTCCCGCGCAGGACCCTGCGGCGCGCGCTCCGGCCGGGGCGGCGACTTGCGGGGGCCGCGTAGAACCCCCCCCGCCCCCGCGCCAGGCGGCCATTCAGCCCTACCGCGCCCTGCACCCAGTCCCACCTTTGATGCCAGCCATGGCGGTAACGTCGCTCCTGGCTCCAGGACCCGCGGCGGCTTCGGCGGCGGCCGGGAGACCAGAGACGCGCGGCGGTAGGAGCCACCAGACAACACCCGGAAGTGCGCGACGCAGCACTTCCGCCGGCGGCTCGCACTCGCGCAGGAGTGCGGGGGGCGCGGGGGACACGGGGGACGCGCGGGACGCGCGGGCTTGGGACTGCGAGGCCGAACCCCTCCCTCTCCTCTCCGCTCCTCCGCAGATCGCCGCCCTCGGAGGTTGTCCTTCCCAGCCCCGCTTCCGGGGCGTGCCGGCGCCATCCCCTAGATGCTTCTTAGGGTTGGCGGAAGCTCCCTCCTGAAGCTCCTCTCCGGTATCTCGCAACGTCGCATATTATTTGAGGAGCAGGGAGCGCCAGTAGCCGCCGACCTTCGGGAGGCACGGTGTGATGTCTTTGGGGGGCGAATTTTGCGATTTTCAAGGCGCGTCCATTTTCCTCTCCTCTGAGCCTTGTAATAAAGGCGAAGTAAGACCACTTGGCTGGTCTGCAGTTGGCTACTCGGTTTCCGACTCAAAACTAGGGTTCTGGTGAGAACCACGTCCAGAAAGAGCAGCAGGACCTGGTAAAGGGTGGATTGAAGACAAACCCGATCTCTTGGGAGTCGGAGAATCACCGGGTTTTTCAGGTAGTAACAGGGCTAGAAAAATAGGAAAAAGCAGAGCTACAAATACATTCATTTTAACTCATCGTAGAAACTTACTGAACATTTACTATGTGCTGGCAACAGGGCTAGTCACTGAGGCCACCAAATTGGGTACGGTTTGTGCTCTTCAGGAGCTTCTAGTTCAGTGAGACGGACGCAAAAAAGCATGAAATACAACAATGATAATCGCTAGGAAAATGGGTAAATAATCCTATGAAAGCCTTCGACGTAGATCAGTCGAAAGAGTTCCCCGAGGGAGAAACAACGGAGGGATGAACAGGTGTGTAGCTAGAGAAGAGGGAAAAGCCATCCCCAGGAGGGGACTGTGTGTCTGTGGAGGGGAGGGTGTGATGAACTTGGGCGGCGGACTCTGGGAGTCGGGAGCTTGGTCCGCTGGAGAGGAGAGAAGGTCAGTGGGATTACTGGGGTTTGGGGTGGGCAGTATGGTTATACAGCGGGGTCCTATAGAAGGTCTTCTCCCCCCCCCCCCGCCTCCCCCAACCGTCCCCGTTCCCCAGCTTCTGAGCAGTAAGAATCTTTTGAAGGTTTTTAAAAAGATGCAAGTGGAGGTGGGTGTCGTAAGATTTGAATTTAAATCTTTTCAGTCATTGGACGGAGATAAAATGGCTTGTAATACCTTGTCGAGCGAATGGTTAGAAGACGTGTTTCCAGCATGCTTTAGAATGAGAGATACTGGGGAGCTAAAGATACTGTCCACCCTTCCTTCCACCTCTTCCAGGATTGAGTTAAAAAAATAAATTTTAAAACAGGTCTTTTCTTGAGGCTTAATGCCTCCAAATAAATCTACAGGTGTCTTGTGGAGGAGAATTTTTTTCCAGTTCAGACTAGTGCAAAAAATTCTGCCATCTTTTCTACCAGGAAGAAAGAGTTTCCCTTTAAGGACTGTGGTAGCAAAACCACAGGCACACTTGAACATACATTGTGGAAATGTTGCTATTTAGACTGTCTGTGAATCAGTAGCTCTCTCTTCTAAACTGAAGTAGACATATGCATCCTATTCTCCAACCATCTTGAAAGGGATAGATAGAATTCCAGGAGAAGTGAATGATTCCATCCCAAATAGTCACCTCTAACACCTTCTGTTTTGTCTCACAGTATTGCATCCTTGAAAACAGGGGTGGTTGAGGGAACATAGCAGAGGGATAGCTGATGAGTAGTGGTATATGGGGGAAGTGATAGGTTCTTAGCTCATAGGCTCATGGCTTGGCTCCTGGGGCAAGTTCACATTTTAGTAAACCTTTTGGAGCTTCCAGAAACCCCAGCGGCGGAGTTAAATGCTAGTCCCTTAGTTTCCTCCTGTGAATATAATGGATTGGGCATCGCAGACATTCATCCTTGATAACATATATGGGCAACTAGGATTGTCCTTTAGAGGGAGCTTTTGCTCCTATGGCTGCTGACTCCTAAGGGTTTGTGCCCGTTCACTACACTAAGGACTATTTTTGGTTTACAGATATCTAGAGTTACTTGAGACCTTAAAAACAGTATGTCCAAATGTTGTATTTCAATGATTTTTTGGAATGCTTCCTAAAAATGCAAACATCTGGGTTCCACTTCAGATATTCCAGAATTTTTGTAGGCACAGCCCAGGAATCTGAAATTTTAACAAGAAACCTAAAGATTTCCTATGCAAACTAAAGCTTGAAAATAATTGTCTTAAAGGGGCAGAATGTCAGCAGTTTAAAAAAAGTTTTTATTTATTGATTTTAGAGAGAGAGGAAAGGGGAGAGAAAGAGAGAAACATCTATTTGTTGTTTTACTTATTGATGCACTCATGGGTTGCTACTCGTATGTGCCCTCAGTGGGGATGGAAACTGCAATCTTAGTGTATTGGGAGGATGATCTCACCCAGCGGTTCCCAACTCCTTTGGCACCAGGGACCAGTTCTGTGGAAGACAGTTTTTCCATTGGTGAGGCGGGGGTGGTGGGGAGGGAGGGGATGTGGATGGTCTTGGGATGATTCAAGCGAATGACATTCGAGCTCACCTCCTGCTGTGTGGCTTGGTTCCTAACAGGCCCAGCCAGGTACTGATCTGCTCTGCTGCCCAGAAGTTAGGGACTGCTGCTCTAACCAGTTGAGCTACCCAGCCAGGGCAGTTTTCTTCATCAGTTTGCCAAGTGAATCCTAAACATTAGTAATGTTATATCCTTTAAATGTTCTCTATTCTTATATAATAGTTTAATCTTTCATAGTTTCAAAATTTTTCATTCAGATGGCTTGCTCTACTCCAAAGTTAATTCACAGTGATGGGGATGAGGGTGAAAGAGCTGTTATTTATCAAGGAGCTGCTATGTGCCCAGTGCTTTAAATGTTTGTCTGATTTAATCCTCCCTACAATGTTGTTACTATGGAATTACTAACTCTTACAGATCAAGTCAGAGAAGATTTTGGTTTTAGTTTTTAAAACACTCTATTTTGGAAAATTTAAATGTATAAAAAAGTATCCCAAATAGTATAGTGAACTTCCATGAACCATCAGCTACCCTTAACAGTTAACACATGATCAGTGTTTTATCTATACTCCTCGTCAATTTCCTCCTACCTCCCATATTATTTTGCCCATATTATTTTGAAGGGTATAATTTTTCATCTTTAATATTTCAGTGTTTCTAAAAGGATCTTAAAAATAACACTCATAGTACATATATTACACTTGAAAATGATTCTGCAATATCATTGTATATTGAGTTCAAATTTCTAAGTGTCTTATAAATATCATTTATTTTATAGTTTGTTTTAATCAGGATCTGAATCAGGTTCACACATTGCTACTGCCATATCTAAATTCTCTCCTCAGACATTGTAGTTCTTCCTGTGGCATTAAATGGTGTCTTCATTTTGATAACTACCAAGTTTACCTTGTCTTTGCAATTCAGACTTGTATATCCAAGTGTCTATTTGACATGTCTACCTGGATGCCCACCTGAAACTTAACATGTGGAGAATAAAATTCTCTATTATCCTTATTCTATTCATGCTTGGTCCCTCTCTGAGACACCACTGTTCTGCCTCCCCTTGTTCTACTCTTCCCCTGTCTTACTTTGCTCTAGTTATACTGGTCTTGTTTGCCTCTCCCACCCCCCCAAAATTTTGTTTTATTCACTGCTGATCCCCAGTACCTGGCACAGTGTCTGGCAGGTACTATCATTTACCGGTGGGTGCTCAATATATAAAGGTTTGGTCAAGTTAGTGAATGACGTTCCTCAAAACACAAAGCCGGACTCTTGCATTCACTGTTCACCAGGCGAGAACGCTCTTCCCTTGATATTTGTATGGCTGATTCTTTCTCATCATTCAGGTCTCAAAGTTTGGAAATCACTTGCTCAGAAAGGTCCTCCCTCTTTGAACAAGTTGCCTCTCAGTCTCTACTGTATCACCCTATTTTAACCAATGCACTTAGAACTACCAATTATCTTATCAATTTATTAGTTTTGTGAGTCCTATCCCACTTCAAGGTAAGATCCATGACTACAGAGATCTTGGCTGTATCCTCCACGCCTACAACAGTACCCGACACATATTAGGCATCCAGCCTATGTATGTTGAATGAATGAGTGAGAGAAACCTAGGCCTGTCACACTTCAGAGGTAATGCCTCTGCATCCCTAGAACCATTTTCTCTGGCTAGTTCTTTAAGTAGACAGTAGTTTCTCCCCCTGATATTTTGTAAGTTCTTACTGCCACCACGCACAAGGAAGTATGTGAACGCTCTGAGCCTCTAAAACCAGACAATATATTTCCATGTTAACCTTTTGCTCCAGTTCTCTGTTAACCAACTAGGTGCTGAAGACAAAGTTGAACAAGGCACAAAAACCTCCCTGGGAAGGTTACTGAGGTTTTAGAGATACATAACTTGACTGACTACATACACCTTAGATTTTGCGTTGCGAAAATTCTACTGTCCCCCAACCACAGCACCTACGCGAAGAATCTTCGGGACTACAGCCCTTTGCCCCGCCCAAAGATTGCGTCACTCCTTTCGCTCCGCCCTCAACGGCCGCGCCCAGTCCCTGGCAGCTCTGAGCCTCAGGGGCGGGTCCAGGAGTTGTGCGCTCTCGCCCCCAAACGTGCCGCAGCGGCAGTGACGTGAGATAGGAACGCAGACGTCCGTGGCTGTTGCGGCTCTGCAAACGGGCTGTCTGTGCTTCAAGACCGGAATTCCTGCCGTCCCTGTGCAGCTGCGCGCGGATTTTCACAGCCCCGGTTCCGGTCCGCGAGTACCTGGCAGCCGCGCGCCATCTTCGCCCAGCGCCATGGCCGCGGCCGGTAGGCCCGGAGCGGACAGACGCTGCCCTTTCGTTGGTCTCCTTTTGCTTCTGATCGCGGGCCCTGCCCTGGGCTGGAACGACCGTGGTGAGTGTTGTCTTCACTTGTCCTTCCTGTTGCCTTTAGCCAGCTTTGAGAGGCCTCACGGGCGACGACTTTTGTTCGGCATCCGTTGAGCTTTTCTGCCCTAAGTCCTCATTTTCATTCCCTTCGCTATTCATCTGTGTCCTTCTGGAGCCTTTTCGTTTCCCAGGCGTCTAGACGGGAGAGGGGGGACTGTTGGGGAGTTGACGGGGCGGGACAGCTCAGTATTCTTAACGTCCCCTTTCTTCCTTCCCTGGACTCCCAAAATTTGCCCACCTTCCCCCTTCTCGGGCTACGGCCCTGATCCCATCGTCTGGCTGGAAAGCTCGACACTCACCTGCGCATGTTGCTTTGCTGTCAAGACGGTCTGACGTCTTCGACTCTGGCTGTTGTCATGGCTGCCTGTTGCTGTGGCTGGCCGTTGCCTTGACATCAGGAGCTTCTGAGTCACACTTACTGGACAGGGCCGCAAACCTGCGGATAGGTTAGCAGAGTCATATGTTTATGTGAGCCGAATTCGTGCTGCTTATTCTGACCATTACAGTGAAGTACACTGAGTTACGCCAGCTTTTCTTACTGTTTTTCACCGTACTCTAGATTTTTTTTTTTTTTTAAATAGAGAATACAGTTTTTATTTACTCTCCAAGAAAGGAGAGGGGGGTGGTCTGGAGAGATACACGAGCCATACTCTAGAATTTTAGAAATATTTTTATCTTATTTTTTTGTGATAAGTGATTTTTTAGGGAAGAGGTTCTTTTATATTACTCTTATTAGGATTATCTAAAGAACTTTTTATGGCATCAATAATACTACTTGTAATTAATACATATGTACATGTATGTATATTTCACATTCATACTGATTTCCAATTAATAAATGATGTGTGCTATTAAATTGGGATTAAAAATGATTTTTAAACATTTAAAATTTTAGTTTTGTTCTGAGGAGTAAAGATGTTAAGGCCTGATGGAAGGTGTACCAATATTGTATACATGATTTGGTGATAGGAAATGCCTATGTTTTTAACAACAGATTTATTTTTGTAATTTCCCATTTTATTCTTAAATGCTGAAATGAGAGACAAGGCACTATTTGCAAGTACTTGACTTTGAGTAACCCATTTAATGTGGATGTTTTATCATTATTAAATATTAAATGCCGAGTTGGATTTAAATGTATGTGTTCCTTATGTATTCCTAGAAAGTTATATATAAATAGACTTTGATTCGAATTATAATTTAAAAACTGGAGTGAAAAATGAATTAGTTGAACCCTAAAGGAATTCTTACATGAAAAAAGGAAGTTTCCAGACGGAGAGTCAGGGGAATTAAAACAAACACATTTATTTATTATTTAAATAAGATTCAAGTGTATATTTTTATGATACATGATCTGTATATTTCATCTGTGCTCACCACCCAAAGTCAAATCATCTTCTGTCACCATATAATTGGCACCGTTTACGCTTTCTGTCCTCCCGCCCTCTTCCCTCTGGTATCCGCCATGCTCTGACCTGTCTGTGTCTATGAGTTTCAGTTTTATATTCTACATGTGAGTGAAATTATATGGTTCTTAGCTTTTCCTGACTGACTTATTTCACTTACCATAATATTCACAAGGCCCACCCGTGTTGTGGCAAATGGCAGTATTTCATCTTTTCTAATGGCTGAGTAGTATTCCAAGTACTGTACATACGTACCGTATCTTGTTTATCCACTTTGGTTGTCTCCATGTCTTGGCTACTGTGAATATACTGCAGTGTACATAGGGGTGCATAAATCTTGTGAATAAATGTTTCCGGGTTTTTCGGGTAGATACACAGAAGGATTGCTGGGTCACATAGTAACTCTATTTTTAGTTTTTTTAGGAATTGCCATAATGTTTTCCATAGTGGCTATACCAGTTTACATTCCCACCAGCAGTGAATGAAGGTTCCTTTTTCCCCACAACCTCTGCAACACTCATTATATTACCTGTCTTGTTCATAATAGCCATTCTAACAGGTGTGAAGTGGTATCTCCTAGCTTTGATTTGCATTTCCCCAAAAGCTAGTGAAGGTGAGCACCTTTTCATAGATATGATGGCCATTTGTATGGTTTCCTGGGAGAGGTGTTTGTTCAGGTCCTCTGCCCATTTTTAAATTGGATTGTTTGCTTGGTGTTGAGTTGTCAGAGCTTTTGAGTTTTTAAAGACATTTCTTCATTTTCTTTTCTAGCCTGTTAAGATATTGGAAGCTTTTCTAATTCCTTTACCTTTTGTATGTGACCTGTTTTTCCTCTTTTCCTGGCAGTTATTGTCTACAGTGCTCTTTAAGATTTCGCAATGATGTGCCTTTGTATGGATCTGCCTATTTATTTTCTTTTACTGTGACAGCTCTCATCCTTCAGTTGTTGGAACTTTTCTTTAAGTGTGTCACTGGGTTTCTTCCATCTAATTTCTCTACCCTTTCTTTCTGGGGCCCCTGCTGGGTGTTTGGAGTTCCTGAACTGGCCCTGTATTCCCACCCCCGAGTCCCCACCCTCTTTTTTTTTGCTCTGCCTTCTAGGAGATTTTCTTACCTTTCAGATAGAGTTACTAAGTTTTTCGTTTTAAGCTGCCCTGATATAATTTCCAAGAGCTCTTGTTTTGTTCTCTAGGTGTTCCTTTAAAAATAATTGTTTTATGGATGCATTGTTTTCTTTTACATCTTTGAGGATATCATAGATATAAAAATATATAAAAAAAGTTTTCTTCTCCTTGTATAGTCTCTTTTTTGTCCAGCTTGCTATTGTGATTTGTTTTGGCCTGTTGTTGGATCCCATGTTAGGTGCTTTCTTCATATTTTTAGTAATTCTTGGCTGCCTGCTCAAAATTAAGGGTAGGAACGCAAAAGCTGGTTGGAAGCTATCAGGGTAGGGTTGGTGCTTTTGGACTTCGAACTTTACTGTGGGATGATCTGGTCACTCTAGGGTTACTTGGGTGGTTCTTTTTTGGGGAAAATTCTGATGTTGGTATATTTAAGTATTTCTTTGTTGGTTTTTTTTTTTAAGATTTTATTTATTTATTTTCAGAAATGGGGAGAGGGAGGGACAAAGAGAGGGAGAGAAACACAGATGTGAGAGAGAAACATTGATCGGTTTGCTCTCGTGTGTGCTGTGACCGTGCCCTGACTGGGACTGATGCTGCAACCCAGGCTTGTGCCCGGACCAGTGACCTTTGCTTTGTGGGAGGACGCCCAGCCTACTGAGTCACAACAGTCAGGGCGAAAACTTTCATTAATCCATTCATCTCTTGACAGACATTTAAGTCATTAAATGTGCTTCAGGAACATTGATGTATATTCTTTGCCATTTTAATTAACCATTAAAGTTGTTGTACAACAGTACGTTTCAGGTTAATGAATTTATGGTCTGATTTTGCAAAAGGTATGTAGAACTTGTGATATAAAAGCAGTCTGGGGCGGGGGGCATCCAGCCTGAAATGAAGAGAGGCCTTCAAGGTGTGACCACTGAAGTTTGTGCAAGGGGCCCGAGTGGTGTTGGTGTGGCTTTTGGGGACTGCTTCTCCCTCTCTTAGTCACCCTCAAAAAGCAAGGAAGACCCTTTTTACAGTATATGGTATAAGAGCTTTATAGGGTAACTTTCGATGTTTCACAAGATATTTACTCTCTGTTTATCTGTTTTCTTACTATTTCAGACAGAATATTGTTGCGGGATGTGAAAGCTCTTACCCTCCACCATGACCGCTATACCACCTCCCGTAGGCTGGATCCCGTCCCACAGCTGAAATGTGTTGGAGGCACAGCTGGATGTGACTCTTACACCCCAAAAGTGGTTCAGTGCCAGAACAAAGGCTGGGATGGGTATGATGTACAGGTAATATTCATTACATTGCTCGCAGTCTGAATGGGATTTTATTCAGTACGGTGTTTATTGGGACATTATTCAGTATTTTGGGGAGGCACATATAGAAAATCTCAGGTTAACCTAAGCTATATAAATATAAATCAGTCATTTATTCTTTGGAAGAAACATCCTCCACAAGAAAAATGAACTGATTTTAAAGCATAAAATTATTCATTGTAATTTTTATTCCATAGCTTTTTTCGAAGACATTAGTAAATTTTCAAAACTTTTCATATACTTGAGGGGAGTTAGAGGATTTCTTCTGGTTGTCATTTTTCGGTCATTTCCTCAAAGAATACCAACGTTCCCTTAAGAAATAAAGTTAAGATGATAAGGAGTTGTAAATAGTGGGTGTACAAGTGTCCCTTTTGTGCTTTAGACACTTGATTTTAAAATTGTTTTAGAACTGGGGTGTCTACTTCTGAACAGGAGAATTTCAATGGGCTTTATTTATTTATTTCGTCTTTAGGACTCTGGCATTTTGTACTTAGGGTGGACCATCTTCCTGAAGTCCCAAAATTTATTATTTAGAAACAGAATAGATTTTATTAAATTAATTCATTTAAAATGAATACTAATATATATCTACTTTGTGTCTGCCTGCTTTCAAAAAGGATTTAAGATAACTCGTCATTCACAAGAATCTTCTGTTGACGATTTCTCCTTCTATCAGCATGGTAACCTGTATGCACAGTCTGTGCAGTTCAGAGAGAAAGTTCTTATTTACTGCATGATAATTATTTCATTCCATGTTTTCCTAGTATTGCTAATGGTATCAACAGAATATTCAGGTTAAAGCAGAATCCCACTCTCATTTTACTCTTACAGGCTTTTTAAAAAAGATTTTATTTAATTATTTTTAGAGAGGGGGAGGGAGGGAGCAAGAGAAGGAGAGAAACATTGATGTGCGAGAGAAACATCGGCTGGTTGCTTCTAGCTCGCCCCCAGCTGGGGACCTGGCCTGCAACCCAGGCATGTGCTGACCAGGCATTGAACCAGGCATTGAACCAGGCATTGACCTAGCAACCTTTTGGTTTGCAGGCCGATGCTCAATTTACTGAGCCACACCAGCCAGGGCAACTTTTTACAGTCTCGATGGATAAAAAAAGATACTAATGGTGAAGTCACTCATTAAAGACATGAAATTGTATACAGAAATGAATTAGGTGGAATCCTAAGTCTCAAGAAACTCTCTTCCTAGTAGAAGAGCCAAGATAAGTACTCAAATTACATGTAGGTACCAACAAAGTGTTGCAAAACCATGTCATGTATAACATTGGAGGGATTGGGGAAGATGTAGAGAAGTTATGTGCTGTGTTAGAAGGAAGGGTAAAATTTTTAGAGCTGAAGAAATAGAGAAGGCACTAGCATGAGCAAAGCAGTGTAGGGGATATTATACATTAATTTATGTTTAGTAGAAGAGAGCCTCTCCTGATTCCCCAAATTTAAATATGATAATTAGAGCCACTTTTAGTATACACTATTAAGGAAATGAAAATTAACGTGAAGTACCAATAGAGATTTAGCTTCTTTTATTTACCTAAATCAGCAAGCTTATAAATCTTCCTCCAAATAAAATTATTTAAAAAATAAAATGATATAACAACAACAACAAGGATATCAAAATAGAAAACTTATATTACCCAAATGAAACACTTCTGGGCTTCAAAGGACACCATCAAGAAAGTGAAAAGACAACCAACACAGTGGGTGAAAGCTTTTTCAATTATGAACCTGATAGGAGACTTGTATCTAGAATATAGAAGGAGTTATTACAACTCAGTAAGAAGACAGCCAAATTCGAAAGTAGGCAAAACATCTGACTAGATATTTCTTCAAAGGAGGTAGGCAAGATGACCAATGAACACATGAAAAAAATGTTCAGCATCGTTAGCCACCAGGGAAATAGAAGTCAAAACCACAATAAGAAGATACCGGTTAACACCCAATAGAAAGCAATAATCTAAAAGACATAATAACAAATGTTGGTGAGGATGTGGAGAAACTCTCCTTACATTGCTGTTAGGAAGTAAAATGGTGCAGCCAATTTGGATACTGTCGGGCAGTTCTTCAAAAGGTTAAATGTAGAGTTACCATATACCCCAACCATTACACTCCTAGGAATATACCCAAGAGAACTGAAAACGTCCACACAAAAGCTTGTACATAAATGTTTGTAACAGCATCATTCATAATAGCCAAAAAATAGAAACAATGCAAATGTCATCATGATGAATGAATAAACAATATGGCATATCCATACAGAGGAATGTTATTCAGCCATAGAAAGGAATGAAGTACACATGCTGCCACATACTGTTAACCTTGAACACATCATGTTAAGTGAAAGAAGCCAGTCATTTAGGACCATAGGAAATGTCCAGAATAGGGAAGTCCATACAGACAGATTGGTGGTTGCTTAGGGTTGCGAGATTTGGGGGGAAATAGGGAGTTACTGCTAATGGATAGGAGATTACTTTTGGGGGCAGTGAAAACGTTCTCAGATTGTGGTGATAGTTGTAGTATTTTCAACTCTGTGAACATATTAAAAACCATTGAAATGGATAAATGCATTTTATGTGAATTATATCTCAATAAAGCTGTTATAAAAATGAAAATGGTATATATGAAGTTTGAGAGAAGATAATTTGTTTTCCTCTTATAGAAAAACTTACAGGCAAAAGAACCAATCAAGCCTATTTTAGCTTGTGTCTCTTTAAATGTCATTAAAGAGGCATGTTACCTATTCAGTTCAAAATGTAGTTATAGAATTTAAATGAAACCTGGGCTTCTTTTTTTAAGGTGGAAACTTTAGAGGTTAGTGTGGATTCCTTTTGCATTTTTTTGAAATATCTTAAAAAACCTTAAGAGAATTATGTATATTATTGGACCCTGGGAAGTTAGTCCATGGTTTTTAAAAATTTGTGTAGAAAAGTTTTTTTCTCAGAAGGTTATGTACTGTCTCTGATACTATATGTAACTACCAGGTCTTTATATATGATGCTGTTTTTTGAGCCTTAACATTTAAAAAACCCCTGTTTTAAAAGAAACATTTTGAGCAACAGTGGTAAAAGGTCTACATTTAGAAAGTTTGCTAAAACCTGTAAATTAGAGAATATTAATATGTACAAAATAATTCCTTACATCTATATGTAAAGAATAAGGAATAGTGCTAAAATGAGCACTCATGTATCCAACACCTAGCTTAAGAAGTAGAACATTAACAATCACCAATATCTTCAAGGCTCCTAGCTTGCCTTCCTCCATTGTCCTGAATTTAGTTTATCATCCCCTTGTCTCATTTTCTAGTTTTATGATAGCTAGATAGCCCAAATGATATATAGTAAGTGAAAAAAAAATCTTTTGGTTCTAATAACATACTCCTACTCTTCTCCACAGTGGGAATGTAAGACCGATTTAGATATTGCGTACAAATTTGGAAAAACTGTGGTGAGCTGCGAAGGCTATGAATCCTCTGAAGACCAGTATGTGCTAAGAGGTTCCTGTGGCTTGGAGTATAACTTAGATTACACAGAACACGGCCTGAAGAAATTGAGAGAATCTGGAAAAAACTATGGCTTTAACTCTTTCTCAGGTTATTATAAAAAGCTGTACTCCCCAGATTCCAGTGGCATCAGTGGATTGATTACGATCGCGGTGTTACTTGCTATCGCCTTTGGAGTTTATAAGTTGTTCCTTAGTGATGGCCAAGATTCTCCACCATGTTCTGAGTATCCTCCAAATTCGCACCGTTACCAGGGATTCACCAACTCAACAGGACCTCCCCCTCCAGGCTTCAAGCCTGGGTTCACAGGTATGTTTTGCCTGGGCAATGGCAATAAGTGGGGTAGATGGGAGGTGTGAATCCTGTGCTGTTTCTGAAGTAGAAAGTGGTTGCGTGGGGAAACCTGAGCAGATTTGTCCTCTCATTTAATTTTTTACTTTTAACTTTTTCTGCCTCTTTTGGTCTTTTCTCTATAAGGATATTTGTGATTACTATTTTAAGGATGCAGGATTAAATTGTAAATTATCTTAATCAGAACAACTTGGTCAGATTTGGTAATAAGCATTTACCTTAAACTCTGCTTCACACCATGCACAAAAATTTATTCAAGTATTAAAGATCTCAACATAAAAGATAAAAAATTAAGCTTCTAGATAAAAATGTAGGAAAATATTTGTCATGACCTTGGGATAGGCAAAAATTTCTTAGAATACAAAAAATACCAGCCATGAAATAAAAGATGAGTAAATTAGACTTTATTTAAATTAAGAATGTCTAGTTATCAAAAGAAAACATTAAGAGAGTGAAAAGGCAAGCTACATGCTTGGAGAAAATATATGTAAGACACATATCCAACAAAGGACATGTATCTAGAATATATAAAGTACTTTCACAAACTTAAACAATCCAGTTTTAAAAATGGACAGAAGACTTGAACAGCCATTTAATAATAAAATATATCCAAATGTCCAATAAACATGAAAAGGTGCTTAGCATTATTAGTTTTCTGGAAAATGCAGATTAAACCTATAGGGAAGTCGTTATTAACCACTATAATGGTTAACATTACAAAGACAGAGTACTGAGTAGTCAACTGGAACTTGATGGGTGGAGTTAGAATGGTAAACACTTTGGAAAACTGTCACTGTCTCCTAAACATATGCTTACCCTATGACCCAGCAATTCCATTCCTTGATATATACTTAAGAGAAATTCATGCATATGTACACAAAAAAAACCACACAAAAATATTGCATAAGAATGTTCACAGCAATTTTATGCACAGTAGCCAAAAACTGGAAATAGGATGCCTATTAACATTAGAATGAGACAGATTGTGCTTTCTTTTAACACTATGGAAAACCACACATCAGTGTTAAAAACCCAAAACCTGATAGATGCAATAGTAGGATTGACTCTCATAGATGTATCAGGCACAAAAGAATACCTACCACATGACTATGAAGAGTTCAAGTATGGATAAAACTAAAATATGGCGAGAGAAGGTAGAGAAACACTTATCTTTGATGTGGGTGGGGATCATTATGAGGAGGAAGCCTTCTGGGTATTAGGAATGTTTAACTGATGTGGCTGGTAGTTACATGGGTACATATGTACAAATTATTATTTTTTATTTTGGAGATTTTATTTATTTATTTTTAGAGAGAGGGGAAGGGAGGGAGAAAGACAGGGAGAGAAACCTCAGTGTGTGGTTACCTCTCATGCACCTCCTACTTGGAACCTGGCCCGCAACCCAGGCATGTGCCCTGACTAGGAATAGAACTGGTGACCCTTTGGTTTGCAGGCCAGCACTCAGTCCACTGAGCTACACCAGCTGGGGGCACATGTGTACAAATTATTATGCTTTACATGTTTGATGAGCACACTTTCCTTTATGTATATTATATAGCAATTAAAAAAAGAAAAAAACTTCCTCTGAGTAGAAGATACTTTTTGGTCCCTTTAAGAGCTGAATTCCCACCTGATACAAATACCTGGCCGTCTCCACTTGGCTTCCTCCATTATATAGCTGTCACTTGGAGTTTTTAAAGATGTTCACAATGCAGAAAGGAAGTAATTTGACAAGTGGGAGTCATCTTCTAGTAATTCATCTTAAGCAGACAAATGTGACCCTATAGGAAGTGCTCCCTTCCTAAAATATATCCTTAGTTATAAACTCATATTTTATGAATATACTGTTTGAATACAACTTGATTATAAGTTGAGGCCTGAGTACTATTAAAAAATAGTACAGACGGAATAGTTGAAATTTTCCTATTAGCTTTCGTTCTGTAGGGTATATTTTGTTTAAATGAGGGTACATAATAAATCATTTTTATTTCTAGGACCATATGGTGCAACTTCTGGTTTTGGTAGTGCTTTCACAGGACAACAAGGATGTGAAAATTCAGGACCAGGTTTCTGGACCGGCTTGGGAACTGGAGGAATATTAGGGTATTTGTTTGGCAGCAACAGGTGGGTCTCACTTGGTCTTTAATTCAGCTTCTCTTTAGAGAGTTCTTTGTTTTGCTTACAATTTGACTAGATTTGGTTCTGTTAAGGAAAATAAGTTAGGGCAACATTACTCTTTTAAATCAGATTCTTTGGGGTTGGGGAAAGGTATACTAAACATATCAATAGTGCTTTTATCAATATGGTATATGTTATTTTCTTTCATTGTGTTCCTTTTCCCTATGTCACCTTTACAGATAATATAAGATAGGAAAAAGACTATTTATTTGACTTTTGAGAAAACTATTAGGCAAGAAAGAACACAATGTTTGGGGAACAATGAGCAGTTTGGTTTGGTAGGAGAATGATAGAAGCAAGGCAGGAAAAAACTTGGAGCTAGATTTTGGAATGTCTTCAGTATTATCGGTAGTTTAAGTTTAGATTTTACTTGAGTGAAAATTCAGAAAGAACCATTTCTCTGATTCACTTTCTTCCCCCATGGCAATGACTGTAACAATATCAGAAATATGAAACAGTATTTGTTTCATGTTAATCCTAATACACCAGAACATTGAAGAAAAAACACTTGAAGATTCTTTTCTGATAGTTTTAGGGATTGAAAGATATTTAAAAATTAAAAGATATAAGAAAAATACTTGACACTCTTTTATGTCTTTATAGAGCAGCAACGCCCTTTTCGGACTCATGGTACCACCCACCCTCCCAGCCCTCATACTCCAGCCCGTGGAATAGCCGTGCTTACTCACCATTTAGTGGCGGCTCAGGTAGCTCTTCAGCGTGTTCAAGTTCAGAGACGAGAACCAGAACAGCATCAGGTAAGAGCAAAAATATAGAGGTTCCTATCACATAGCAGTAAAGTATAGAAATAGCTTTGGAATGTAAGAAGATGATTCACTATATATAGCAATTGTGGTCTTATTTAGTATACCTACCAGAAGTATTAATAGCACAATTAACTGAGATTAAAATATTCAGATTCATTCTTTCCTCTCACTTGTGAACATTCTTTGAAAATCAAACAAGGATTTGGTGTAAACTTCTACCACTAACCAAAGTTTTAACTAAAACCTTTCTGGATATTAGTTTCCATATCTGTTTAATTCTGACATCTAGGGTCCTTGAAGCTCTAAAATGGAATTTTCTAGGTAGAAGTTTGAACTTTCTAACTTCTGCAAAACTCAATAAAAATGTATTGAGCCATACTGTAAATAATTGTCAAAAATTTGATTCTAATGGTTATTGCAGTTGTTAAGAGGACATTTTGCAAAAAGCAAAGATACTAAAAAACAAAAACTATTTGGAGTTAAACATCCCACTAATTAGTGGAGAATGGGCGGTGGTGGGTAACGAGGCACTAACGGGGCGCTGTGGGCTGAGTCTGTTTTCTGCAGCAGGGGGGGTTACAGAACAGTGATTAAGTCTTGAAATTGGTAGAATATATTTAAATATGTTTTGAAATGTAAGAGTGAAGTCCTTATAGTGCTTCTGTGTATTCAGACTAATATAATTATTTTGAAAAACTGTTTGGCATAACTTCATTGAACATAAGCACACCCAAGAGTCAGCAGTTTCACTCTCAGATACATAGCAACAGACATGCATGTGCTTGTGCAGCAAAAGGTGCGTACGGGAGTGTTCACAGCGTCCCTGTTGATCGCAGTCTCCACCCGGACTCGCCATCAGCAGCAAAAGGGATGAAGAAATTGAGTTATATTTATAACATGGATTAAAATGCATTCTTGCAAAAGTGAGAGTAGATAAACAGTGGTATCCAATGATATGGATAGATCTGCCAAATATAAAGAAAAAACAACACAAAAGAATATATACAATAATGATGACCACATTCATGTTTTAAAAACAAGCAGATCTAGCCTGTGGTGTTTGATGCTAAGATAGTGTTTGGGGAGAAAAGGAGAAGTAGTAATTGGGAGGATATACGAGTATGAAAATATAACTCTGTAAGACATGACAAAAGAAAACTCATTTTCACTGGAAACAAAAATTGTAAAAAACCGTAAATATCAACTAGAAATATATGGGACTTATATGAAGAAAATCATAAAACATTACCAAATAAGCCAAAGGAAAATTGAAAAAAATTCAGAAACTTTTCAGGTGGGAACACTGTCATTTTGTAACCTGTTAGCTCGTGCACGTGTGTGTGCATCGGACAGTCGGACAGTCTCCCCCCGTCGTTCGTGTGTACTGCTGGAGCTGTGAGGGGCAGGGGGACACGGCTCGGGCTCCGCTGGCCTCCCTGCTTTTGGCTTGGACTTTGAGTATTGCCAGTACCACATTGGCGCTGCCACAGAACCCGTCTTCTCTGGTGTGCAGGACTGAAAGTTACTCTCTGCAGGCAGGCTTAGCAGGCGTGATGACGATGGGGTGGTGGGGAGGGCTGTTTGGGGCGGCGCCGCACTGGGCCCTGCACAGCCCTGCTCGGCCAGCGCACTCGCTCTCCTTCCCTCTTATCTCTCTCGTGTATTTGTTAACAATAGTATGTATTATTGTTGTAATTTTATAAGCAATTCTAGGGCATTTAAAAAAAACTAATACAAATTTTGTTCTTCTCATTTAGGATATGGTGGTACCAGAAGACGATAAGAAAATAAAAAGTCGAAGTCAAACGTTGGATGCAGAATTTCTGATTTTCATCACTTTCGCTAAAAAAACAAGGGCTGCTAGCTAACAACTGGGGAAGGGGAACATTAAAAAATTCTGTGATGTTTTGTCTTGTATAGCTTTTGTGTTTTATCATTTAATGAGACTAAGAGTTGATAATATGACGAAATACTTCGTAGAAAATTGTGTTAGAGTAACATGCAGATGTTTATTACAACTTTTGAAAGTGATGATTACTGTAGAATGCTGAAAATGTATTGTTTAATTTCTAAGACGTGATGCCATGAATGAAGGCTTTATGGACACTGAGTAAAGAAAATTTAAATCTGGTTTTAATTCATGAGTTATAACCTAATGGAGACAATAATATATTTGGTGTTTGCTGTTCTTCAAACATTTAAACCAAGCTTTGGACTACTAATTATACTGACGTGTGGGTTTTGATTGCTTTTGAGCTCAGGAGCTTTGAATCCTTCAGTGGTGGTGGGGTTCTGGTGAGAATTACCTCTTTTAGAAAAAGGTAGGGGAAAAGTATCTAGAAGGTTGGTGTGAATGATTGTGTGCTTATAAAAATTCTTGAAAACTTCTTTATTTATTTCTTAGGAGGTAAAGTTCACATGCTCCAACAATGGTCTTTAAATAGCAAAAGCATGCAGTTCTCTGTGGAATTTAAAATACTGTTGTAGCAGTCTGTCTGAATTACATTAAAATGACAGAAAAAATAAAAATGAGATTTTACTCTTACTCTTTTTACCTGGTTTGGACATTAATTGATGTACCTTTTTCAAACCATTTTTTCTAAACGAAAAGGTGTTTATGCAGAAGTTCTCTCTCCCTAAATAATAATTTCCCAACGGTAGTATTGCCTGAGTTATTGACCATTTGGTAAATGTTTTCAAAAAACTAATTTAGAAATGGTGCGAAAGGAAGCCTCTGTTACAAATTACTTTAAAAAGAAAGTCTTCAGCCTTCCGAAAGTTGCTCCATCTTAGTTAAGCTGTGTAACCTAGAAGTCTTAATTTTTACCTTTTAGGAAACATTTAGAAGGGGTCTCGCTTACAAGAGGAATTTAATGAACAAAATAAACTAAAGAGCAGAATAGAACCAGAGGCATGGCATCGTGGAACAGACTGACAGCTGTGGGCGGGGCGGCAGGGGGGCGTGACTGAAGTCTAAACCCCAGCAGCTCCCTGTGGCCGTTCCTCTGCCCCTTGAATGTGGGCTCTCTACCTAGCAGTAATCTCTACTGTTTTGGTTATTGTTCTAGAAATAATTCATCATATCCTGATTTTTTCCCACAAAGAATAGATGTCCTTTATTCTTTTAACAGCTGCATAGTATTCACCAGATGGGTATAGCATGATATAAGCTGCCCATTCCTTTATTGATAAATGCCATGTTTTCAAAAATTGCCCTATTTTCAACAAAGCAATAATGAACATCCAAAGATACCTTTAGTACATGTGTTTATGTCACTCTACAAAGAGTCAGGATGGACCCCCACCCAAACAACAGAGTCACTATTGTAGCTGAGAGATTTAACATATATGTATTTAGATTTGTAGGCTGTATTTCTAGAGAGAGAAGATCTGTGCTTAAACGTGGCACTCTGCCTGAAATTTGGATGTGGATGTAAGAAGAGCTGCCATTTAAACATGTGGCCTCCCATCTTTCTGCTCTGGTGGACAAAGTCGCTCTGGAGCAGAGTTTTGTACTGGGAAGACCCTTTGTGGCTCCTAAGTAAATAAATACAGGGTAGATAACCATCCACTGCCCTTGAGGAATCATATAACAGGATTTTTAAAAATGGCTCGATGAAGGCCAATTTTTTTAATACCTTTCAATATGTAGAGATCAAATGTTGCTTAAGAGAAAGTCAGTCCTTGGAGACCAAGGTGGCTATTGGAGGATAAGTATAAATATTTTTCACTCGAGTACCTCATGAATTATACCTCTTGGATGGTTAGAGAGAGCTTTTATTGAGGGAGGGCAGTGTGAGTTTAGACTGGGGAGTCTGGCTTGTTACCAGATGGTCTTAGGGGAAATCTGGTTTTGAGTTAACTCTGTGGGTGTCTGGAACTGGAATTGCCCCAGATCTTAAAACAGGACACAATGGGTGTGCTTTGGAAAGACTCGCTGAACACTGAAGTCTGAAACCAGAGAGCTGTAACCTGGCAGAGCACCACTGTGGCTTGTACCTGGATAGTGATCGAAAGGAACAGTGAGAAGAATATATCAAGACTAGTTTTCAGAATATGGCAACAAATACGGAAGCTGAACATTTGGTCTGCAGGTGGATGGATCAGATCTCCAAATTACTGTCCAGTAGACATTTAAGAACATGTTCAGCTATTCTGGACAATATCCTTGGAGTTCTTGAGTAAGTGGGGATAAGAAGAGAGGTCCGTTGAGAGGTAGAATGCCTCCAGCTAATTCAAAGTACTAGGGTTCTGGCCCAGCTTAGAAAAAATAAGGGATGCAACCATATTTGTTTCTCAAGCTGATGAAATAAATATACTGATTGTGCCCAATACAAAGTTCAGTGGATATATTATTTGATGCAGGTAAACTTTTTATTACGACAATCTTTTTGGTAGCTACATCTCTCTACTACTTCATATTGAGCTTCAGAATATGATTTTTTTTAAAAAGCCACTCTGCTTATAGCCAGGAAGTTTGCCACTATCACTATCCTGCATTTGCACAATGGACTAAAACAACAAAAATCCCAAAACTCTAAATTCAGGAATTCCCAGTTATTCATCATTTTTCTTTTAGGGATGACCACAAAAGATTTGAGTTGTTGATATCACTACAAATACTAAGTCATAACCAAAACAGTCATGGTATATTAACCAATGGGTTTTAGGATTCTTGCTTTCTTGAAAAATATGGATAACTTTGAAGAACAATGACAGATTTTATTTTCCCTGATAGAGAATTTCTCATGATACCTTCTAATAAAATATTTTATAAAGTACCTTGTCACTGAACAAAGAGAACCCAAAATTTCAAAACACATGTCTGCAACATTGGTTACCTCTTTCTAGCTTTTTCTAGATTCATTTCCTCTTTCATCACTAGAGGGCAATACTGCTTCAGTAGTCAAAGTTAGTGGGCCATGAAAGCTCTTTACTTTTAATACTTAATGGGTTGTTTATGCTGTTGTAGACCTACTAGATAGATTATTTTCTTCCATACTGTTACCAGTATATAAGGTTTGCTTATATTAGAGTTGTTATTCACGCAAGAGGTTTCTGATATACTGTTAGAACCAATGGGGTCTGCTGTCACTCTTCTAACATTTTCAGTTATGTAGGACTTAATTCTTTTCTGTACATAATGATATATCCAGATTCTGATGACACCTCACCTTTTCTGCTATTGTCATTCAGCCACCATACCATCATCTGTTACCTTAGTGAGGTCCACACTACTTGCTTTAGTTAGGATAGGTTAGGTTATTCTGCATAACAAACAGTCCCCCAAATCTCACTAGCTTAACTGACACAGAGCTCACACCAAAGGTCTTACACATGTTAGCATGAACTTTAGTTCATTACAGTTGTTCAGGGATTCTGGCTGATTGAAACTTCCTTTTGGTGTGTTTGCAGTTGCTGCAGCAGGAGGGGCATGTGAGGAATCACGCATTAATCTTACAACTTCTGTCCTGAAAGGACATGTCACTTCTGCTCTTCATTGGCCAAAGCAAGTCAGATGGCTATTCTTAACTTTAATATAGTAGGGAAGTACAATCCTAGCATGGGCCCAGAAATGGAAATCTAATATATTTGGTGATCAACAGTAAAGAAACCAAACTACTTAAAATTTCCAACTCCCCATCTCTGCCTTAGGACTTTGCTGCTGCTTTGCTCTGTTGCATTTCCCCCCCATAGCACTTACTATCTTCTAATTTATATAATTTACTTTATATTGTTTTTCTACCTCTTCTCACTAGAATATAAACCCCAAAAGGGTAGGGATTTTTGTCTATATTCTATACTATATCCACATTGCTCAGAGCAATGCCTATCTTAAAGTAGGCATTCAATAAGTACAGACTGAATGAATATATAAGCGATTAATCACAAACCAGTTTTGTTGTTCTTATACCATAGTCCACCAACAAGTAGGTGGACTTTGCAAGTAGGATGTCTTACTGGAAAGATGAATTCTTTTGAAACTGGGAACTCCTAAAGCATTATAACAATAAACATTGAAAATAGTGTTTACTGTATTATATACAGTTATATTCACAAATACAGTGGTAAACAAATAATCACATTTTAAATATGTGCTGATATGTCCCTCCAGAGGCAGATGGACCCCCACCCAAAGTTAGGCTTGGATGTCAAGACCGATGATGTTTCACATGCACGAGAGGGTATAAAAAGGCTTATTACTTACATAAGAGAGGTCTCTCAGGAGAGTAGGGAAGATCTCTCAACCAGGTTTGCAATGGGTTGTAACTGCAACTAGGGCCTGGGCCTGAGTGGGAGCTCTTGCCAGTGCCAGAGGAGGGAGCACGCAGACTCTCACGGCTTGTCCAGGTGTGGGGCATAAGGGGAAGAGGGAGGGGTGAGGCTTAAAAGCTGTTCCTCCTCCATGGTGGCTTTTGAATAGAAACAAGAGCTCTTCCTTGGGGCTGGAACTATATGCACTGGGGTTTCCAGCTCGCTAGTTCACTCTGCAGATGTTTGGGCTGGCCAGCCTCCATTCCAACACTATCTTCCAGAAATAGTGTGAAACGTGAAAAAGAAATTGTTTTTCTTTTTAATTAATTTATTTTCAGAGAGAGGGGAACAGAGGGAAAAAGAGAGGTAGAGAAACATCAGTTGGTTGGTTGCCTCTCATGCACCCAGGCATGTGCCCTAGGCAATCGAACCAGTGACCTTTCACTTTGGGAGATGAGACACAACCAACTGGAACATACCAGTCAGGGCAAGAAATTGTTTTATCTCCTTGCTTTCCTGCTTCACCCTGTAAGCTTGGGCACAGGAGGAAAGAGTAGTCAAGTAATGGAGAGGTTTGAGGATTACTTTGATTTCAAAGAATTCATGTAAATTTTTTTTTTCTTAGGGGGACAGAATACAGGGTGTGTGTGTGTGTGTGTGTGTGTGTTCAAATTAAGTGTCCATTGAAACAAGTGTTAATATCTTAAGTGGTCAGATTTCCTCAAATGAATGTATACATCTTCAAGAGCATGAAAAACACCTGTTGGCTAAAATTTTGACTTCCAATAGGCCAAGTTATTTAAAAATACGATACCTCTTTTGCCTTCACTGAAAAAGTATCTGAGGATTGAAAAGTATGAATTCCAATCTCCATTTGTAGAAGGAGCTTTCATTAGTATTTTGAAAAAATTACCTGTCCTATACTCGTTTGGGCCCGTCTGATAATTCCCTACCCGCACTGACCCAGTGCTCTACGTTCCTTACATGGGCACAGCCTCTTGGGAATGGTTCACAGTCAGGGGACCTCCTCGCCTGTCCCTGTTATCTTTTGTTCCTGCCTTTTATCTTTTGAACCCCTCACTTCTTTCTTTTTCCTGCCAGGGCCACTCTTTCTTCTGCTTCCGGGCTATTTTAGGGTAGGCCCGGTGGGGGTTGGGATGACTGGTGTTGGTAGTATAGCACAGGGGGCAGCGAGAGGGGAGGAAATGTGCGATAGTAAACTCTTCTTGCTGCGCCTCTGCTTTCCCCACTTCCAACCACCACTGTTAACTGCTGGCTCCAGCAGTGGGC